GGCTCCATTGGCTTTGAAATCCTATTTCTTGTTCGGTTGGGGGTAAGTAGGTGAAAATATTAATAAATGATTTAGATTATGAAATAAGTAGGATATAAGTAGGTGAAAATATTAATAAACGGTTTAGATTATGAAATAAGTAGGTAAAAATATAAAAAAGGTAATTTAGGTTATAAAATATGTAGCATATAAGTAGGTGAAAATATTAATAAACGGTTTAGATTATGAGATAAGTAGGTGAGCCAGAATTGGGTTTTCATACTACTAGGGTAGTCAATGTAATGGAACTAAGAGTTAAGATTGAAATATAGGTTAATTGAGAAATATTCAGATAATAAATAAAGGAACTAGAGGATAAGTAGTTGTCCAGAAAGATGTTAAACTAATTGAGAATTAGTGAAGTTAAAGAATATTAGAATATAAGTAATAGAATATTATATAATAAAAGATGTAATAAGAGAAATGTAATAAGAAGTCATGTATATGAGAATGTAAAGAAATAAAGATTGAAGTAGTAAATGAACAATTATATGAATAAAATATAAATAAATTGAAAATACAAAATAAAATCAATTTTATGAGAAAATAAAATAACGTAAAATGGAATGGTATCATCAGTGGGAAAGTGAGTACAGGACACATAAAGAGGAACATGAGTTAAGAAATACGAATGTTTAAGTTGTGAATTATGTTATTCGATAGTAAATGAACCAACTGTATTCAAGAAATTTTGGGATGCACTATTCAAATTTGAAGATGTGATAATAATATATAACGATGTAACAATCAAGGGAGTATTAAGTTTATTAAGTATGGATAATTCAGAAAGGGAAGATACAATACATAAAGGAAGATGTAGAGACATAATGGATAGAATAACAGAATCGATAAGGTATAGAATACAACCTAAAATAAAGAAAAGGGATTAAGAGCAATTATATTAGTAATTGTAAGGGATTGTATCAAAAGAAATCTAGAGAATGAAGTATTTGACAGATTAATTGGGAATCCTGAATTACTAGAACATAAATACATTTTAGAAGATTGGGATGTTGAAAGAAGATTTGAAAAATTTTGGCAATGGTATAGGGTTGCATTAGGAGAAATTAGGGCTGTAAGAGCAGAAGTAGAAGCAATAGGAAAGTTCAAGGAATTATTGTATGAAGAAGAAAAGATAGCAGAAAGTGAAGAAAAAGTGAAAGAATTAATGCAAGAAATAACACATGAGAATGTAGAAATAGATAATGTTCATGAACATCATAAGAATATGGTACAAAAGATAATAAGAGTATTTATAGACCTAGGGGTTTTACAAAAGAACCAGAAGATTCAGAAAGTGAAGAAAGTCCAGCAAGTTATGAATTGGAAAACAGTTCTGAAGAAGAACTAGAAATAATAATAGGAGACAAATCATGGAAATTTAGCGAATTAAAAAGAAGGACAAGTTCTATTAATGAAGGTCAATTAAAATACATCTGGAAAATAGGAATAAAGTTGATGATAGAAATGGATGTATTGGTAACAAAAACATTTATAGATAAAGTTCAAGAAATAAAGGAAATGGATGAAGAGGAAAAAGAATTAAAGATAAAAGAATGGTTAGAAAGAGAAACAGTAATATGTAGAAGGTGCGGTAATAGGAGATTCGAAATGAACAAAATGGATAGCGAATGTGAAGAATGTATTCAAGAAATGCAGAAAGATGAACAGGATGAGTTAGCAGAATTAAAAGATGAATTAGAAAAATTGGGATATGAGGTGGATGTATCAGAAATTCGAAGAATAAAAGGTTTTGGAGTAAATAATCGAATAATGATAACAAAAGAGTTTATAAAAGAATATATGAAGATAATAGATTTGGAAGATAAAGAAGTAAGAAAAGAAATTCATAAGTGGTTGAACGAGAATACAACTTGGTGTGAAGGATGCGAAATAAGATGGATGAATAATATGTTTAGATTAGGAGAAACTATATGTGAAGATTGTAAGGAAAAAGATATCGATGAAATGGATGATCGAGTAAGGAGATTAAAGAAAATATTTGAAGATATGGGAATAATAATGATTGAAGGAGAATTATTAAGATTAATTAGTATGGGATATACAGATGGAGAAATTTTAGATAAAGAATTTATTGAAATCTTTCGAGAAAATAAGAATGAATCAGAAAAAGAGCTGAAGAAAAAGTTAGATAAGTTGTTAAAAGAACAGGCAGGAATTTCAGCAATATCTAACGCATTAAGAAAAGAGTTAAATATACCAATAATTAAGAAAAGTAATGTAGTATTAACGATAGCTGATGGTAAAAATATAGCATCATTAGGAATTGCAGAAATAGAAATAGAGATTCAAGAAGATTTGGGAATAACATTAGAAGTTGAGGTAATTGATTCAAAACAAAAAGAGTTGATATTAAGAACTAATTTATTGAAATATGGAATATTAGATATGAGAGAAGGAATGTTAACGATAGAATTAAATAATGAAATTTATGAGAAACCAATTGATTATAATGGTAGAAAAGATGTTAGTTTTGAAGAATCAGAAAGTGAAACTGAATCTGATACAGAAGAAAAAGATAATGAGATTAATGATTCTAGTGAAGAATCAGGAGATGAGTATGAAGAAATAGAACAAGAGGAGTTGTTTTCCTTTGTGAAAAATAATGGAATGAAAAAGAAAAATAAAGTAAAATAAGTAGTCTTGGCCTAAGAGAAGGAGAGACGATAAAGATGCCAAATGAAAGTAAGAAAGAGAAATTTGAAAGGAAAATATATTTAGGAGAAATGGATAATCTAAAGAAAGAAATGTTTAAAGAGTTAATAAGAGAATACGAAGATATATTTGAATATGATGAAGAAAAATTAGGAAGAGTTAATAAAGTTAAGCATGAAATTGAAGTTAAAGAAGATCAAGAACTAATAGCACAAAAGAGATATAGAGAAACTGAAGAAAAAGAAAAGTTTATAAAGAAAGAAATAGAACAATTATTGAAAATGGGTAAAATAAAGAAGTCATGGAGCCCATGGTCATCTCCAGTAACATTAGCAGGAAAGAAAAGTGGAAATTACAGATTTTGTATAGATTATAGAAAATTAAATAGTGTAACTAAGTCAGATGCATATCCATTACCAAGAATTGATGAATTGTTAGAGAAATTTAGAAAAGGAAATTGGTTCACAAGTTTAGATTTAGCAGCAGGATATCATCAAGTTGAAATGGCAGAAAATGATAAAGAGAATACAGCATTTATATGTTCGCAAGGATTGTTTGAGTATAATGTTATGCCGTTGTTAACAGGTCCGTCTCAGACTCTGTCAACTATAACTAAACGTTAGGGAGTCAATAGCTATAACGTAGTTTATATCAGCAAGACACGCAAAAACACAATATGCAAAATATAACACAATCACAGTTCTTTTTTAATATAAGAGTTTATTAAATAGTTAATACAAGTTAATCCCTAACTTATACTATCTATTTTCTATCTATCTGACACACTGGCACACACTTTAACTTAAGAAAAATCAAAAGATATTTATATAAAAATAAAATATAAAGAAAATAATATAACTAAAATAAATAAAGTAAATAAAATAAATGTAATAAATAAAAGAAATAATAAAAATAATAAAAATAACATAAATAATATAAATAACAAAAATAACAATTGTAACGTTAATCAGATCTACAAAATTATTTGATTACATAATGATTGATCTACTAATTAATCATCTGATTTTTGAATCTCGTGATTTTTACTGCGCCATAATCTTCGTTATCACCGTTTGGATTAAAGAATGCACCTGGAACATTTCAGAGATTAATGGATGAAATATTAAAAGAGTATATTGGAGAATTTGTTACGGTATATTTAGATGATATAATGATTTATTCTAGAGATTTTGAAGAACATTTAGAACATATTAATAGAGTATTAAACAAATTAAGAGAAAATAATATGATTGCGAAGTTAACGAAATGTCAATTCAGATCAAGAAATATAAACTTTTTAGGACATATAGTAGGAAAAGATGGTTTACGACCAGATGAAAAGAAATTGAGAAGATAAAGAGTATAAAAAGACCAGAAACTATTATGGAAGTATGATCATTTTTGGGATTATGTTCATATTATAGAAGATTTATAAAGGATTTTGCGAAAATAGCGAAACCTTTACATAATTTAACGAAAAAGGATACAGAGTTCGAATGGAAAGAAGAACAACAAGTAGCTTTTGATATATTGAGAACAAAGTTAATAAAGAAACCAATTTTAATATATCCAGATTTTGATAAGGAATTTATATTAATAACTGATGGATCTAAAATAGGGTTAAGAGTAGTATTAGCTCAAATGAATGAAGATAATAAAGAAGTTGTCATAGCTTATGCGAGTAGGAGTACAGTTGGAGCAGAAAAGAATTATCCACCAACAGAATTAGAATGTTTAGCTGTATTTTGGGGAATAAAACATTTTCAGAAATATTTAGTAGGAAGAAAGTTTATAGTAATAACAGATCATGCAGCTTTAAAAGGATTAACAGATGGTAAAGAACAGACAGGAAGAAGAGCAAGATGGGTAATGAAGTTACAACAGTTTGATTTTAATATAGTTCATAGAAGTGGAAAGAAAATTAAGAATGCAGATGCATTATCAAGACTACAATTTGAAGAAAAAGATATAAAAAGGGATGTTGAAAGCTTTGATCAGGAATTAAATAAAATGGATTATAATAAAGAGAAAAAGTTAAGATATGTTAAATCAGGAAATAAATGGTTTAATGCTAAAAGATTTAGAGGAAAATGGGATGATATGAAATATTTTAATGATAAAGAAGCGATATTATTAAATCTAGAAGATAAGACAGAAAGGGAATTGTTAAAAAGATTAGGAAGAGAAAGTAAACCACAAATTGTTATTGTTGAAGGAGTAGATGGCACAGGAAAAACTACAATAGTAGAAAATGTGATAAACAATTAAAAGATAAAGATAAATTGAAAGTGAGATTCAATACATTCAAAAGAAGAAGAAATGACAATGAAAGATTTAAAGAACCTTCAAAAGAATATGAATGGTTATTCAGAAAACAAGTTGTTGAAGAAATTAATAGAAGAATGACTGAATTTGATGATGAAGATATTATAATATTGGATAAGTCACCTTATAGTGAATATTTTTACCAGAAAACTAAAAGTTTTGATAGGGGATTAATTAGTCCATATGGAAATCATAAGATGGAAAAAGAAATATTTAAATATAAAGATATCATAGATAATGCAGTAGTAATATTTTTAGAAAATGATGAATGTTGGAAAAATTACATTGGAAGAGAAACTAAGAAAAGTGAAAAAGGACATAAATCATCTTATGATACATTAAATGAAGAAGAATATATGGACATGGTTAAAATGTTTAAAGAACACCAGAATGTATACGAAAATGAAGAAAAATATAGGAATATAAAGATTAAGAATGATAATGAAAGTTGGAAAAAGGTATATAAACAGGTCAAATATTATTAAGAAAAGTAAAATGACCAAAGAAAATATTGGATTAGAAATTTATGTACTTATTATACATAAAAATATAAACTATCATTGTATATTATTTGAAGATAAGGAATTGAAGTTTGTATTACCATTTGAAGCAGAAATAGAAGAGTTATTAAGTAAATAAAGAATAATATAATAGGATATATAAGAATATAGAGAAAGAGGTTAAATATATTATTAAGGATAACTTATTATATAGAAAGGAAGGAAATAAATTACTAAAAGTTATAAGAAAATATGAATTCGAAGGATTAATGTACATTGCACATGACCATGAGTTGTTAGGACATTTTGGAATTGAAGCAACATATGAAAGAATTAAAGATAAATATTATTGGAAAGGAATGAAACGAGATATAGAAATATATGTTAAATCATGTGATAGTTGTCAGAGAAGAGGAAAACCGATTGGAAAACATGAATTAAATATAATTAGAGTTAAAGAACCATTTTACCAGATTGGAATAGATGTTGTGGGACCATTACCAATAACAGAAAGAAATAATAGATATATTGTTACAGCGATGGATTACTTTACGAAATGGCCAGAAGCTAGAGCTTTAGAAACAGCAGATGCTAAAGAAATTGCAAGATTCATTTATGAAGATATAATATGTAGACATGGATGTCCGAAGAAAATACTAAGCGATAGGGGAAGTCATTTCAATAATAAGTTAGTAGAACTATTAATGGAGGAATTTCAGATAAAACATAATTTTTCGACACCTTATCACCCAAAAACGAATGGATTAATAGAAAGGTTCAACAAGACACTATGTGAATCATTAGCAAAATTGAATAATGTTAAAGATTGGGATTTAAAAGTACCAGGAGTTTTATTTGCATATAGGACAAAGAAGAATGATTCAACAAAGTTAAAACCAGGATATTTAATATATGGAAGAGAAATGAAGACACTATTAAATTTAGAAGATGAAAAAGTTACAATAACACAAAGAATTAACAGTCTAATTGAGGAATTACCAAACATTAGGAATCAGGCTAAAGAAGATATCGAAAAATCTCAAGAAAAACAGAAATTATATCATGATAAGAAGAATAAAATAAAGAAGAAATTTCAGATAGGAGATAAAGTACTATATTATAATGCAGCGAAAGAGAAACAATAGTCTGGAAAACTTGAAGAAAAATGGAAAGGACCTTATTATATACACAAAACGATTTTTAAAGGATCATATAAAATAAAGACTATGGAAGGAAAGATATGGAAGACACCAGTAAATGGAGAATTGTTAAAAGAATATATTGATAGATCAAATTTTGAAGTTTTAATTAGAATTTGAGAGGACTCAAATTTTAATGCGGGAGGAAAGCTGTAACCAAAGATATGGAATAGATTACACAGAAATTAATGTTAGATAGTGATAATTAGTTAACTGAAAATATAATATGGATAAATAATTAGCCGATGGGTAAATAATTAACTGATAAATAACATTTATAGTTTAGTTTAGTCACGAGAAAGTCACATGATAATACATCTTTTATTTCTTATTATTTTCTTAAATTTTTAATAGAAAAAGAATAGTAGATAGTAGAAATAATTTTCTTAACATGTATAAATACAAGTGGGATTCATTAGGAATTCTGCAGTCAATTTTTGGCTCAATAAAATAATATTAAAATATTAATTATTAAAAGTTTTTTAAATATGAATATGCTCATTGTATTCTTGAGAATTAATTAATATCATATTATAAGTCCAGAGAAGTAAAGTAAGGGAAATTATCCCAGTTTAATTATTATATGAATTGAAATAAGAAGTTAAGAGAACTCTTGCAGTTTGTAAGAGAAATTATGAGAATGTAAAAGATATAAATGAAAGAGAGCGAGAAGTTAAGAGATTATAAAATCTAAACCAAGCATAATATTGAACTGAGTATGAGTTTAGTCCGCCGATATGTGGCAGGTATCGGTGACAACGGAAGACACGGAAAAATAATGGAAATATTCGGATAAAAATTTTTTATAGGGATATCATTGTATTTATTTATATTATTAATAAAAAATTATTTTGTCAATATCTATGGTGGCAACATGATTTATCACGGGCATAGGTATCAGCCCGTATCACAATGTCTTTAAAAATTACGCAAATTCAACCACCTATGGGGTATACAGGTGTATAAAAATAGTGAATAACCTTAATAATAAGAATTTTCCCATTTTTTTAAAAATAAAATTTTATGTATCTTTTTATCAGTGAGAATTTATGTTAGTATGTAGTGATTATGTTTGACATATTATTTTGTGAAAACCAGAGGTTTCTGCAAAGTGTGTGTATAATTTGAAGATTTGCTTTGTAAAGCCTTTTCAAACTTTTTAATATGTGCTACAAAACATGTTTCAAGTTTGTTTAACATTTTATTAGTACAAGCTTAGATTATGTTATACAGTTATAAACACTAAGATTGCCTGCCTAAACCTCTCCAAAATTCTACGATTAGTTTCTCCAAGATTTTACTATAGTTTTATTATAGTTTTGGCAAGGTTTCAGCAATTTTGGCATTTATAATAAGTTTTGTCAGGTTTTGCTTTTCTCCAGAGTTTCACCAACTTTTTAATAAGACTTTCATATAGTTTTGGCAAAGTTTCGCTATTTTGGCATTTCACCAACTTGCCAAAACCCCCTAGTTTCTCCAGCAACCTTAATAAACACGTTTATTTAAGTTGATTTTAGAAAAATAGCTCATTTCATTTAGGGATGGGGATGGTTCCATCAGTTTAGTTCCAGTTCTATAAAATGGCAGAACCAGTTCTGAGCAGAACTATTCTGAAAAGTCAGTTCTGATCAGTTTGGTTCTATGGAACAGTCCGTTTTCAAGCAGAACCATTCAAAAAGTCAGTTCCAAGCGGTTCAGCTTTACAGAATGGTCCAAGAAGTTAACTAAATACTACCCGGAAAAAAGGTTAACTGGTAAGATACATATGAACTGAACGGAACCAAACTTCTTGAGTCAAATGGTTTCATTTTAGGAACCAAACTGGGTTCTCGGTTCTGACTCTGTTCTCAATTCTGAACCATGCTCGAACCACTCAGCAGTGGAACTTTTCCATCCCTAGTTTCATTAATCTCTTTATAATTCCTTTAGTTTAGATAATACTTATGTGTCTTCTATTCTGATGATAATAATACAAATACATTTAATATATTAAAATGTTTTTATTATACTTTAGTTATTATTTTATAATTGTATTGTATCTAGGTTTATAAAAATATCTCAAAATAATATCACAATAATTTTTTAATGCTTTTATTATTATTTATTATTATAATATAATTAACTTTGATATTATTTTAATATTTTAATTTCAAAAATACTTTAAATATATTTTGATATATTTTAAAAATTTTTACAAAATAATTGCACAATTGTTTTGAAAGCTATTGTATATAGGTTTATAAAAATATTTCAAAAATTGGCAATTTTTAGTAAAGTATATTATCTAAAAGTATCCAGAAGAATTTATTGAATATTACAGATTTACGGTTCTTTTTATTCATATTTTCCAGCTATTATCTGAAAGTACTTATTCTATTTTTTAGCTTTCTTATAATTTTTTCAAGTAGTAATTTGGTTATTAGCTGTTTTTTTCTTTTGTTGAACTTGATTTTGTTATTCTAGTTAAACTTTTATTGCCTCTTATATTTATCAAATTTAAATTGTAATATTATAAATATTTGTAAACACTAACAAAAATTATAAATATACTGGGATTTCTCAAATCCTCTTGTATTTGTGAAGATACTAATTAAACACCAGTTCATTTTTTCAGTAATTGAAGATGCTTCAATAATTGTTTTAGAAGGAGTTGAATCAGTTGTTGCAGATTTCTTAATAACTTTAGGTGAGGACAATTGGACATTAATATCAATACTTGATAATGATTTGGTGTTTGTGAATTTGGACTTGTTTTCTTGAGTTTTGGATAAGGGGGAGTGATACATTTTCGTTGGGAGGTGGATCATATATACCTTGTAATGAGCTTATTTAACTTTTTTCTTGCATTCAGTCTCAGCTATAAAATTTATATTAATATCAGGTTAAAATTTTACATAATAATAACATACTAAATATTACCCAATTTCCAACGATATCTATAGTCATTTTTGCAAAATAAAGTCTCCCACTGAAACAGGAAATGTTGGAAATCATTTTTAAACCAAATAATAGTTTAGAAAAGTTAATTAGGTTTAAGAATATGGAAGATATAAATATATAACTTAAATTATTAATGACATTTTGAATTTTACCCGAAGTTTCTCTGCAATTTCTGCAATTTACAAATTCTTCGTTAGAACATATTGTTAAATTTATAAAATTGTAAAATTATACTTGCCTGATAAGTCCAATATGTATCATATGATAAATAGAGAAAATCTTCCCAGTCCTCTTTTGGTTGTTTCATTTTTACCGTTGTTTCCATTCTTCTTTGGTAATAGGATTTTGTATACTTAACCACGTGGAAACTAACAATTATTATTAATATCACTAATATTATTTTTGAAACATTTTTGTATTTAATTACCGATGTCAGTGTTAATAATTCTTGTAGGAGTATTTGATAGTATAACAGTAGAAATAGGCATTGGAGTTGGCGCAGAAGGGGTTTGTTGGATAGCAGAACTTTTGGATTCGCTAGTAGCTGAAATAATAAAGTTATACTTGAAGTGGATTTGTCAATATTTATTTTTTTTGAATATTTTATAAGTATTATTGTAATAGTAATATTAAAAAAAAAATGATAAGAATTAAGTTCTAAAAAGCAAAATACGTTTTTATTTATTTATTGAGAGCTTATTATTTTTTGACTTAAATTATAATGCGTTTTTTATACTTATATATATGTTTTTAAACGCGTCCACTTACCTTTTTAATAGTTAAGTTACTATGTAATTTAACTAATTTATTAAGTGATCTACATGAAATTGCTTTCCGGAGTATTTTCAATTTAAGATTATTTTCGGAAATTTTCAGTTATTTTAAATTCCTAAAATTTGGCTAAAACAACATTCGCAACATAATCGGAATATTTTCTGTAATATTCGGGACATCAAAATATTCGGAAAAAAATCGGAGTGTGCCGAATAAAAATTTTTTATAGGGCAAGTGTTAAAAGAATTATTTTGGATACACTTTTCTATATTAATAAAAAAAAAAAATATGAGAGTACTTATAGGCAATAATTTGTTGCTCTGTCGTAGTGGCTTTTCGAGTTTTTATATTACTTTGCATTTAACTCATGCTTTGCAAATGATGTATTGGTTAATATATTGAATGATATCCATTCTTTATAAGTAAAAATATAAGAATTGCTTTTATTCTTCATATATTTAACAATAAACCATTTTATTTATAAAATAAATTAAACACTTTTCCATAAATCTTAAATGTAAAACATTATAACGTTTAATTTAATATACTATAAAATATAAAGTACATAGAAAAAAATGAATTGATATAAACTTTTTACATATTCACATAAAAGCCTCTCATCTCCTTCTAGTGATAAGAATATAACAAAAATGTATAAAAATTTATATACTTAGCTTGTATAAAAAAACAAAAACTGAAACAAAGAATAAACAAATAATAAAATAAATACCTTATTATATGGATCAAGGAACGAACATTCAATGTAATTTTTTGATGTTTCTAATGGTTTATTTTTGAAATTACATTTGCATCTACAGTCAATAATTTTAATTTCAATCTTTTTATAATTTTGTTTTAAAAACATTGGTCCACAATTAGTTTTTTGTGTAGAAAATAAACTAATAAATTTCGGAGATGAATTAGCAACATTATTGTTAAGGTTAATATATGGCTTTTTTTTCATAATTGAATAATTTGGATATTCAAAAGGAATTATGTTACAAGTATTAAGGTTTTGGTAGTCTGAAATAATCAATGTATAAAAATCAAAATCAGGCAATTTTACATAATTGTTATCTTTTGAACAATAAGAGAACATGTAGGCTCCAATCTTATTTTCTTCTTGAGCATTAAAAAAATGATGTCCGATAATGAGAGAACAATTTGAAGAATCTAGTTTAGTCAATACAGGAATTCCTAAACAAGGGGGAACTTTATAGACATATGAATCATATTCAACATTTAATATTTCCATATTAATCATAGCTTGATTGTCTGATATATTTTCATTTTTCAAAATCTTTAATTGAGCATTAAAATCTGAAAGTATGAAATTAAAATCATCTGTATAGTATCCTATTACCATCCACCCAATTTTCAATTTGCATTCACGCTTTTTAAATTTTTTTTGAATACAATGAATTATGAGACTTGGTTTTCCATTAGGTGGACAAAGTACTTGACAAGTAAAAAAATCATCCTTTGATTCTGTCGATTCTGCCATGTCAATGATAGTTGCAAAAATATTACAATCAGTTGCTTTATTTTGAATTACTCTCATGATATTTAATGGCATATTTTTTAATTCAAATTTTTTTGGCCTTCCAAATTCTTCTAAACGATATTTAAATTCTTCAATTTTCGAATAATGAATTCTTTTTCCAAAAGACTTAATGATTTTATCACGTAAATTTTTAGATAAAGGCTGGAAAATGCTAATAGGATTTTGAAATTCTATAGAATTCCATTTTTTATAATTTTCTTTTAAAGATTTAACCCACATTTCTTCATTAAAATTTTCAAGACTACCAGGTGACTCTCCTCCAATCAATTTTGTACAGTTAAATTTTTGATAGTTTGACTTTCCTTCTGAATAATTGGAAGTACTTGACATATTTGCTTCCAAAATCCCTCCCGCATTTGTACTCATAGCAATTTCTTTCGAAAGTTCTGTAAACTTTCCAGTTGATGAAATATGTTCATTAAAATGAACTCTACCACCTAAAATAACCTTTGTTGGAATGAAGTAACCATATTCCTCAATTATTTGGTTAAATTTCTCAGCAGGGTCTTTAGAATTTGTAGCGTCCTCTACTTCTTTAATAAAATCTGGAGTTGGTTCTAAATATTTAGTAAATTCTAAAGAAGCTTTAGCGTGCTTTATAAAATGATAAGAACCACTAGTTTCAGAATTAGATTTTTTATTTTCCATACTTCCTATTGACATTCCCAATTTTGCAAAATTATCTACATTAATATCCGCAGCAAAAAATAAATTCGTTATTTTTATCCGCTCTTCTGTTGACTTAAATTCAACTACTCCTTTTTCACATCCTACCGCACCGATTTCTTTAAATTCACAGTTTTTCATTACAAATGCTCTCTTATCTGCCTTCTTTATTTCATCATAAGTCATAGTACATCCATAATCTAATTTATTTTCTTCATTTAAAAAATTCCAATCAATACATTTTATATATAAAATGTTTTTATCAGAAATATCTTTATCGATAATTTTGCATAATCTGAGTTGTTCTTCATCTTTAAGTTCTATTTCAGCAAATCCACAACTTCCACCATTATTGTCATATTCATTGCCTTCAGAATATTTTCTTAAAAATTTTAATAACGTACTATTAATATCATAATCCTCTTTAAGTTTTTGACGAGTTACTAATAAATTATTGGCAGTATTCAAGAGGACTAGTTTAGACTCGTGTGATGGAGTAATTTTTATTATAATTTCCTTCCTAGCATCATATGTAATGGCGAAAACCATTTTAAATATATTAAAAGACGAATTAGAAAAAAATAACGAAAAAAGAAAAAAAGAACGACGTATTTCCCTTGTCGCACAATGTTGATCCTATATATTACATTCTTAAAAAAGGAAATTGTGTCAATTTCGGACATTTATCCTTATTAAGCAAATAATGAACCTGTGCGACATTATTCACGTGATCTTGCGTATATGATTGTCTCATGATTGTCTCATAAACACCACGCCCGGTCTTTCAATACAAAATGGAATTAACTCAAAAGCCTGGAAAGTGGAAATACAATGACGAATATCAGGTAAAAGTAGTTTTTTAATTTTTATAACGATAGATGATGTAGAATTTTAATATTAATTACATATTATTTATTTAATAAAAAAGGTACATGTTACTAATTCTTTAACTGAATCAGACAATGTCGATGAAAAAACAGTTTACATGGAAGATTTAAAAAAAAGAGAAGAAGTATATGGGATATGTGTTGAATGTAATGAGCCTGGCACGGGAAAGGAATGGTGTCAACCTTGTAACGCTAGAAGGTTTAAGAAAAATTTTAAAAATTGGACCAGCGGAAAAGAAGATATTGATGGACTAATACAGAATTCACAAATTAATGCCGTACATTCTACTAAATGTCTTGAATGGATACCCTATTTAAATTTTAAAAATATTGTTCCTATTAATAAAGAAATTTCCAATAAAATTTATTCAGCTGATTGGCCCGAAGGAAATATTTATTCATGGAGTATTGAAAATCAAGAATGGAAGCGTTATTCAAATAAAAAGGTTGCACTAAAAAGTTTAGCTAATTCTTCAGATATAAGTATAGACTTTTTAAACGAGGTAATTAAAAAAAAATTAAATCAAAAATTTGAATTGTACTATAAGTTGATTCTACTAAGAAATTTTATTTATTTTATTTTAATTTATTATTGAAATTTATTTTAGGTTAAATCTCATATTCAGATTTATACTAGGAATATTATTCAATGCTATGGTATAACACAGGATCCAAAAACTAAAAATTATATGATTGTTTTACAATACTGTAAAGATGGAAATTTGAGAAATTATATAAATAAATTTGAAAAACATATAAATTATGAGCGAAAAATTGACCATTTATTCCAAATTTCAAGAGGCCTTTTATATATTCACAAATCTGGAAAAATTCACACAGATCTTCATTCAGGCAATATATTATTTGATAATGTCCCGTATATAAGCGATTTTGGATTATGTCAATCAGAAACTAATAATAAAAAACAAGAAGTTTATGGTATTTTACCTTATATAGCTCCCGAAGTTTTGCGTGAGAATCAGTATACAAAAGCAATAGATGTCTATTCATTTGGAATAATAATGAATGAATATATTTCAGAAAAATTCCCGTATAATGATACCCCACATGATCATCATGTTTTGACAGTTAAAATATGTAGTGAAGGGTTTAGACCAAAAATTTCTGAAAATACGCCAAAATTGTTTATAGATTTGATAACTAAATGCTGGGATGCTAAAGCGGAGAATAGACCAACTGCTAAAGAATTATGTCAAATTTTGAATAAATGGAATAAGGAAAAATATAATAAAGATAGTGAAATTTATTTTCAGATAAGTCAAAAGCATCTAATAGAAAATTTATCATCTGAACAGCTAATAATTCGACAATTTAAATTGAACCATGGATTATTCTTGGATGGATTTAGTATGAAGGCTAGTAAACACGCTATATTTATTGAAGATGGCGAATTGAATATGAGTTTATATGATAGCCAACCTTTAGTGTATATTTCCATAAACGTCAATGATTCTCGCGTAAATTTATTGAGTTTCAATTCTGATAACAATATTGATTATGACAAAACTTTACAGCCATCAGATATTTGTATTAATTTTCCAGTTTTTGAAATTACTTATACTGCTGATTTCTCAGAATCGTTCCTAAACTCTAGAGATAGTGGAGTAACATTGTATGAAAAGTATGGTCATCTATTTGCAAGAAAAGTTTTGGTTGGTGGTAAATTATTTATTAATGGCCTAAAATCAGCCACTTCAGCACAAGCTGATGCATTTAAATCTCTTTTAACTTGGACATATAATTTAGCTAAGTATAATAAAGAAAACTTATTTATGAATCTACCTACTCCAAATTTTTTTCCTAAGATAAGAACATTAGATGGAGAAGATTTAAATACTTATGAGAAATTAACAAATTGGATGACCAATTTGTATAAAAATAATATGGTTGATATCATTTCGTATAATAATCTTATTCCCGTTTCTGAATTAAGGTTCAGTGAATCATCATCAATAGATGAGAAACAACCTGGAGTTCTCAATTTCAAAGAGAGATTAAGTTTTGAAGATTGGGCAGTATACGCTAATTTAATAAGATGGATTAATGAAAATAATCTTTTCCAAGGTTTAATAATTGATAAGCATTTTGAATTAGCACTTAGCAAAAAAATTGCTGTTAATTTCACTAAAATTCCTGATGTAGATTCAAGTAATCAGTCTTATTTGAAAATGATAAAGCCAATAACAAAGATGGAAGAATTTTTGACATCTAATAATATTTTTTCTGTCAAAGATATAGGATCTTTACCATTTATTAAAGAAATTATTAGATCTGAAAATATAAGTTATAAAGATTATACCCATTTATTACTAAAGCTCGAAAAATATAGAATTACATCTGATATTATACCTTCAGAAGAATTCAAACAAGCCATAGAAAAAGCACTTGAAAGTATGAAGCCATTTATATGCTTACAAAATGTATTTGATGAATTTGGGCATTTTTTCCCATTAAATATCGTCTTAGGAAAATCCCTCAAAAATATTTTACGAATTCCTATGTCATATAATTCTGAAGAGATTTATTTAGGAACAGAATCTTTAAGTTCACATTTAGATAAATTGAATGTTTCGTATCTTTTAACAGAAAAAGGAGACGTTATTAAAACAAATGATCTGTCTAATTGGATTCAAAATACAAATAATCGCCTAGAAGTTATTGAGTTTGATAATATAATTTCTTTACATTGTATTCTTGAAATGGAGCAAAAAAAGAAAATTGATGTCATTTTAAATAAGAAGAATAATCTTAAAATTATTATAACGGGAATTGATGAATTGAAAGATTTGGATATTAACAATACCGAACACTACAAGCGAATAAACATAGAACCATCATTAGAAGATGAGGATTATGAAGTTTTTGGATCAGTTATTTCGAAAGATAATTTAAGATTAGAGGATTTTTTAGTCACATTTGGATTATATGACATTAATGGATTTTCTACAATGATAAAAACTTTAAAGAATACAAATACTGATATTACGGAATGTTATATTTTGTGGATGGTTATTGGAAATCCTTCAAAATTATCAGTTTTTAGCCCTAGGAATCGAGAGTTTCAAGTTGATTGTATTAAAGAGTCTATAACATTACAATCTAATAATTCTTACTACCCAGTTAAAACTTCTTATGAACTATCTGAAGGATGTACGATTTCTGTAAATGCACATTGTTCAACAGCAAATTATGAGCCTATAAATATTAAAATTAAAATGGCTGGTTGGTCGGAAGATTGCATTTATTTTCAAATAATCGAAACAAATTTAGATAGTTCTGATATAATTTCTGATCAACTTACAAGTATTGAAATTATTATATGTGTTTTATATTCAAATTACGAAAATTTGAAGATTGATAATAGGAAAGTAGAAAATTCTCTTGATTCAATTGGCTGCATTTTAACTGAAAGTACAAAAGGTCAGTATATGAAGATTATATTTTTATTCATTTTCAAAAATCATAAATTTTTATTATTAATTAATATATATCATATTCAAATAGTTATTCCCTTTTTACCTTTAATTTCCGAAATCAGTAATAGTTGCAATGAAACTATTGGGTTGTTAAAACAACGAGTGGATGTTGTAGATTCGGCTGTGCGTGATCTTAAAAAAGATAAACAAGGATTTTTCGATCATAAGAATCATATTTATTTACAAAATTTAGTTAAAGTTACAACACAAATTAAAAATTTTATGACAGAAATTTCTCAAATGAAAACTTTGTTAAAGTATATCAAAGCGAAAAGTATAGAAGAAACTTTTAAAGATTTATGTGAAGAATTTGATAATTGTATTAATTCATTGGCTTTTACTAACACAAATAAAAATTCTGATAAGCTTGAACAATTAAAAGCTGATCAAGAAGATTTAACTAAGGTAAGTAAAAAATTGAATCTTATGAAATAATAATAAACATTTTAACCTATTATTCACAATTATAGTATCCGGGAAATACGGACATTGACATGAAAAAATCTAATGATGATGTAACAGAGGTTGAAACTACCATGAAATTTAAAAATGAGGATAATAATAACAACTCCTATGTACATCAACTAGAGTTTATTGACTATGAAAAAACTGATGAGAAACCACATAAAAATGGGCGCGTGACTAAATGGGTTAGCGTTAAAAATAAGAGTGAAGAATTCGCATTTAAAATTATTTCTGAAGAGGAAAAAAATATGGTACAAAATCAAATCAGAGTTCTTAAGGAACTTCATGACTGGCAAAATGTTATAAAAATTTATGGACTTACTTATAAGGGAAATAAATGGTATTTAGTGTCTGAATGGGCCAAATATGGGAACTTGCGTGAATATTATACAAACTATAAAGATCGATTCAATCTTAGATTGAAATTACGTATGTCCCTTGATATTGCTCGTGGATTAAATTTTTTAAGAACTGTTGAGGTGAATATTATGAAAATTTTTATTGCTTTTATCGCTTTACTTACTTTTTTAATTTATTTTTTGTCTTCTTTATAGATTGTGCATCATGATATTAGAGCTGAAAATATATTAATTACATTACACGAAACAGCAAAACTAGCAAATTTTAAATTTAATCGTTCATCATTCACAGGTACATTAGAACAAAGTCAAAATTTAGAACGAGTTCGTTATTGCGCCCCTGAATTATTAGAGAGCGCTCACAACTTCAAATATGATCATAAATGTGAAGTTTATAGCTTTGGAATTTTACTTTGGGAAATTGCAGAAGAAAGAACTCCTTATGAACAATATAATGATATTGTAAAAATAACTGATATGGTTTGTAATCATAAATATCGGGAATCCTTTTCAAAAGATAGCCAAATGCCTTTGTCATTTACAAGCTTAGCGCTTAAAGGTTTGTAAAAATATGTATATGATTTAGTTTATTATTATAAAATATTAATCATTATTCAATTGTTAGCTGTTGATCATGATCCAAAATTTAGGCCAGAAATCTCAAAAATGCTTGTAGTTCTCAGTAACTGTTTTGAAGAATTTAAAACCCAAGTTTCATATATACCTGATATTCCGCAAAACCTAGAAACTACCTCAAAACATATACTCCAAAATGAATATGACGTTTTAGATGATAATTTACAAAATCTCGTCGTGGCATCAAGCTCATCTATTGCAATGCAAACAGAAGTTTTCAAAGAGATTGTTCCATTTTCAAAATTTCATCCTTTAATTAATGAAATAAGAAGTATCTTTTATGAGATTATTTATCTAGATCAAGCTGCCGAGCATAATAAACGAATTTGTAACGTACTAAAACAACGAGTTTATGCAGTAGATTTAGCAACGTTTGAACTTAATATCATGAGAAATTTTAATCAAGAATTTTTTAATAGGAAAAATTATTCAAGTTTGCAAAGTTTAGTCTCTGTTATAACACAAATTAAAAGATTTATTTCAGATATTTCTCAAATGAAAAATTTAATAAAATTAAAATATGTACAACCAAAAAATATTGAGAAAACTTTTAAAGGATTATGTAGAGAACTTGATATATGCATAATTAATATTGATTCAGAGAGTTTTAGAGACATGGTTAACAATAAAATTCATACCGAAGAAGAAACTAAATCATTAAAATTAGATCAAGAAGATTTATCTAATGTAAGTTAAAAATAATATATTTATAATAAAAATTCTAATATTATATTCTTTTTTAATATATTGTAATATTTGTTTAGTATTTGGCAAAAATTGAAGAAGAAATTGGATCTGGTATTGGTGAATTATCTAACGAATTTTCCTTAATGGTTTTAAAAATCAACGCGATGAATAATACGATGGAAAAACTTTTAGATGAACAAACAAAACAACAGTCAAAAAATTACAATGATAAAACTGTTAATGACAAATTAAAACAAATGATTCAATCGAAGATTGATAAAATTTTTGCAGTACGTCAATTAAGAATATCCGATTATGAAAAAACTGATGAGGAATCACGTAAAGGACGCGTGACTAAATGGGTTAATGTTAGAAATAAAGGCGAAGAATTTGCTTTTAAAATTATTACTGAGAAAGAAAGAGCTAATGTACAAAATCAAGTTACAATTCTTAAAGAACTTCATGATTGGCAAAATATTACAAGAATATATGGACTTACGTGTGAAGAAAATAAATGGTATTTGGTATCGGAATGGGCTGAATATGGTAATTTGCGTGAATATTATATAAATTATAAAGATCGATTCGACATCAGATTGAAATTACGCATATCTCTTGATATTGCTCGTGGATTAAATTTTTTAAGAGCCGTTGAGGTAAACATTATTAATGTTTTCATTTATTTATTTACTTTTTTCTTTTTTATTTTTTTTAATTTATTTTTTGTTTTTCTTTTAGATTGTGCATCGTGATGTTAGAGCTAAGAACATATTAATTACATTACACGAAACAGCAAAACTAGCAAATTTTAAATTTAGTCGTTCATTATTCACGAGTACATCAAAACAAAGTCAAAATTTAGAACGAGTTCGTTATTGCGCTCCTGAATTATTAGAGAGGGCTCACAACTTCAAATATGATCATAAATGTGAAGTTTATAGCTTCGGAATTTTACTCTGGGAAATTGCAGAGGAAAGAACTCCGTATGAGGAATATAAGGATATTGTAAGAATAACTGATTTGGTACGTAATAAAAAATATCGGGAATCCTTTTCAAAAGATAGCCGAATGCCTTCATCATTCATAGAATTATCGACTAAAGGTATGTAAGAATATATTTATATATGCGTTATTAAATTCTAATTATAAAATATTGATCATTCTTTTGTTTCTTAGCCACTAATCATGACCCAGAATTTAGACCGAAACTTACAGATACATTTGAAGTACTTAGTCGTTGCTTCGAAGAATATGAAAGACCTTCAAAATCATCTTCAAATTCTAAAAGTACACAGTTCCAAAATATCACACTTTCAAGTCCAGATCCTATTCCAAGTCTAGAAAGCATCATAAATCAAGATGAATACGCTATCAAATCTTTGTCCGATTATGAATCATTCAAGTACATGACACTTGCCGAAGCAGCAAAACAACATAAAATGTTTGATAGGCAAGGTAAACCATCTGGTGATACAAAGACTGCATATAAGTGTTTTGAATCATATGCGGATGCTGATACTACAATTCGTAACAAAATAGTAGCAAAATATTACAAAGCTTATTACATTTCAAGAGGATTAGTTGATAATATCGAAGATAAGGACAAAGATAGGATTGTTGCTGAATTATATAAAGAAGTTGCTGATGATGAAGAAAATGAATTTCCTGAAGCGAAATTAAGATATGGAGATTGCTTATATAATGGTAAAGGTGTTGAAAAGAATTTGTCAGAAGCTCTTAAATATTTCGAACAAGCTGCTGATAATGGTTTTAAGGTAGCAATGTATAATGCTGGAAAATTATATTATAATGGCGATGGCATTGAGAGAAATAAGGAGAAAGCTATTAGATATATGAAATTAGCTATTTATAATGAATATGAACCTGCCATGAAATTTTGTAGAGATAATAACATTAATTTAAATTAATTAGTAAATATAATTGTTGTTCATGATAGATAATTATATTTATTTAAATTTTTTTTATTAAATGTAAATTACAAGCTTTTAGTAATAGCGATAGGTTTTCTTCTTGCTACGAAAGATTAAAAAACTAAGTTAGTAAGTTACTAGTAAAATATGATGGCAATACTCTTTAAAAAAATAAATCATGATTTAATATTGTAAAAAAAGTTTTTTCTTCGTATTAATTTGTTGATAAAGTAACTGTACACTTTGATTTGAATCTAAGTAATATAATGAATGTACTATTTTAGAAAATGGCAAAATAGATAAAGTAGGACCAGCACTGGTCCAGCTAAAAAATTTTTCTTATTCATTTTTTTAGAGCCGAAATTACATAGTAATGCTGCAGTATAATTCTTTTATACTTTTATGATTGGATATAAGCTAAAATAATTTAAGATTTATTTGTAGGATATAGTTACTCCATTACTTACCATGCTAAATAATGTTTGAACTGAGAAATTCATTCATACGAAATTTTCTGATTATTTTCTATTAATAAAATTTCAAACATTATTTATTGATTTTTCAATAGTACAGTACAACAGTGCTTTATAAAAGCTATTATTGTATTTTCAATGATAATCAGTAAAAATTTTAGAATTTAGAGACATTTTTGCTTTAGAGGCTAAACAACAATCTTTTTTAAGCAGTTGTTTGAATTAATACTGAAATTTATAACGATATTTTTTTCGGCAATATCTTGAGATAATAATTCTTGAACGGTAGCAATTTAATTCTTTTAATTCTTATTTAGTAATGCCATGCTGTAATTACTGTCTTATAAGACTACCAAAATTACTAATTAATGCACATCTGAGTGTGTATATGATATATTAGATGGGTGTTTCATATGTAGCATCATTCGTAAAGGAAGATACTTTGAAGACGATGATATTTTTTTATAATCATCAAACGAGTCTAAACTGAATTTTTTGATGAGAAATTATTTGAGACGTGCAATTTTAGTTATTATTATAACAACTAGATTTAATTTATGGCCTATTCTACTGACTCTTTTAATGAATTTAATAAGCATGTAGATTATGAGTAAAAAAAGAAACAGAAACATTCCAAATGAATATAGCTAAGTATTTCGAAAGTTGACACCTGATACGATATAAGATATTACTCCATACTATTTCATTATTTGTTGAAGTATTATTTGCAAATAATTGTGATGACTCTAAGTCACAAATTAATTAAGATAAATTTTGAATTAATTACGGACAGTATTTTTTTTTAGATCACTTATATACTTGTTTATTCTTGAATATGCCAGATAATGGAACATTGAAAAATTATTTAGATTGGAATATTATTAAATTACAATTTGCAATTCAAATTGCTGATGCAATCTCGTGTATACATCGAAGAGATATTATCCATCATTTATTTTATGCAGTTCGTAACGATCTAAGTATTACCGTGATTCTTTTTAATCAGCATTCTGATAATAAGATTGGTTCATCAGAATATGATTGAATTAGCTGATTTCGGCCTTTCATATAGAACTGGAGTATCAAATTCCATGAAGGATAATTTTGGAAAGATACTTTATATTCCAGTGTTTTAAAAGTCAATAATCAAATAACAACGATGATAATTCAGATTTGTACAGTGTTGAATACTCTCATAAGAAATATCTTCTGGACAGTCATTTGAATCTTATGATAGATCTCAAGATGAAACGGCATAAACACTGTAGATTTTAGATGAAGAAAGAAATTACTTAAATAATTGATTAAATTAATATTTATACAAGTATGATTTATTTAGTATATCACTTTTGATTGGATTTAAAATTAATCAAACCAATTATTAGAATGTTGGTAAAGTTAATACAAATTGTACTAGATAGCTATACAAAAGTATTTTCCAAACTCGTTAATTTAATTGTAGTGAAAATATACTAGGTTAGTACTTAAGGATCATAATTTTATTAACGGTTAACTAATGTACTTATTAGTGATTCGTAAAGTGAATTTAAAGTTATATTTAAAATGTTGTGTTTTATTGGTCAAATAATATATAATTTATTATTTTTAAACATACCATTAATAAAAAGCACTTGTACTAGATTGAATTCGTATTACAATCTTTTTATTACACCTACGGAAAATCAAAAGATAGAATTATAACTTTTCAAGATATATCTCGGATGCTCATAAATATGCAGCTAATGACATGTTGAAAGAAAGTTAATACAAATTATTTCTGAAGTGAAAATCTAATTCGTATTTCTTGAGCTCTATTAAGTGATTTACCACGATAGTCCATTTCGGCTAGGGGTAATCAGTTTTAGAATGAACCACGGACTTAATCAGGCTTGTCCAACCAGGTAACTCGAAAAATTAGGTCATAAGATTTACACCTTAATTAGAAATAAGATATTGATATGCAAGTCAATCATAACTTACTTTGACTTTTTTAAGTTTCGATTAAAGCTTGCTTAATTTAATATACAGTTCAATACATAATGTAAATAATTATTGTCATAAAATTATTAAATAAATCTTTTTTAATGATTTTAAAAAACTCTTTTTACCATTTTTTTAAGACATAACTCTCATTTTCTTAGTCTTGTGAGATTACTTTTCTTTAGGATATTTTTGTTATATCGATATAAAATTATAATTTAGATTTTAATAAGACTGTATAAATATTCACTTTGCTTTAATGATTTAATTTTAATTTACCGATTTATAATTAGTTAGAACCGTGTCGGTAAATAATATAATCAGATAGCTGACAGTATTATGATATCATTATATGACGTTACAATATTTAAATTATTTCATTTATAGTTAGAAACTCAATAATTTCATGTCTTTTTTTTTCATGAGACCAATATTTGTTATTGCAGTTTCGTAGGTTTGATTTTTTGGTCCAAGCCGGCCAGGACACACAATTTACTACTACCATAAGGGGTTATATGACAAAACAAGTATTAATTAAATTGTTACTGTATATGATAATAATTGTTAACCATGTTGTATAGTACGATAACTTGCATAAGTAAAATTTTTTTATTAATGACATTGTATATATTTACATATTTATTTTACGAATTAACCAAAATATAACAAGAATTACATTATTTTCTTTTGTCTAAACCATTTAAACCAAATTAATTTGCCAATGTAAAAATAAATCTTAGTACTTTTATCAATTATTTCAAAACATTCTTGAAAAGTTTTATCACCAAATTGTAATTAAGGAATTATAAATTATGAATGATATCTTTAGATACTATGTAAGAATTACTTTTTTGTAAAGTTAGAATTGAAAATAGATAAAACAGATTATCAAAAAGTGGGTAAAAAATTTTAAAAATATTTAGGTCAATCAACACAAAAAATTTGAGAAATTAATTTTTAGAATTAAATTTATTCAATATTTGATAAAAGAGAAGACGGCTTAAAATTTCTTTAGAAAATTTGAATTTGGAAAATTGAAAGTCATCTTGCACATTCTACATATACAAGTACATCTGATTATATTTATGAAGGATGATTATGTAAAATTGATCGATAAATATAAAAATAATGGAGATTTTAAATATTAATTATATCTCAAACTAATAAATTATGATCAATTTATTGTATAAAAACGAGCATATTATTTAATTGTACAATTAACAAAGCTATATTATCATTGATTTGTAATCTTGCGAATGAAATGTAAAAAAAAAAATCAAAGAACAAGACGGTTCAATCAATAACTAATGATCTAATAATTATCAAACATCAAATTACCCTATCACAGCAATGTTAACTTATGATATGAATGACTCTTTGACGGTTTCTAATATGTATTTCTGTTTAATAATAAATAATTATCAAAAATTTAACCAATAAAAAATTTATATTTATTTATAAATAATAAAAAATTATAAATTTTTATAAATCCATAGTGTATTCTTAATATTTAAATATCCTATTCCAATTTTTTTGCAAAGTCTGTATTGGTATAAATAACCAAATCACTATATTCTTGAATTATAATATCATACAATTCAAATTCCTTCACCTCGTTTTTCAATAAAAACAACTCTTTATCTTCATAGATATTCTCATCATATTCATCAAAGGTAGTTTCTATAATAGCTAAATATTTGACTCTTTTCTTTTTCATAATATTTTCTTTTATACAAGATAAAATATCGTCACCTCCTCTATTATTGATTAACAACTTTTTAATAAAAGTATTCTGTGAATTTTTCAAGAATATTTCAAAATCATTCATTTTAATATTAAGAGTCAAACATAAATATTCTAATCTAAAAGTAAAATGTTGACCTAAATTACGTAATATAATTGAACTACGTTCAATAGCGCCAATTGAAAATAACGTTTCACATACACCAATAGAAAGATAATTAAGATTTTGTCTTATATTTTCAATTAAATTCAACGCTAAACAAATAATCTGATAATCTAATTCATATAAATCTAGAAATTTGATATTTTTACAATATTTTATAACTAATTCTGATAATTGTTGTTTGAATGGTAGCTTATATCTATATCCAGATCCATACCCAAAATTCTCTAAATAATTACTGGATTTTTGCAATAATAATTCTAAAGATTCGATTTGTGACATCTCTCCTATAAATAAAGACTTTAATTTGAATGGTTTAGTTAAATTAACAATTTGCTGAATAAAATCATTATTTAAAGAAGAACAATAAACCATATGTACAGATTCCAGAACATTTAATTGATCAAATACTTTATCTAAATTGATTATACCATGAAAATTGATGTAATAAAATGTGATTGTGTTTAAAGAATTTGAACAATTATTTGATAATAATAATGATTGATATAAATAAAGGCTTCTATAACATAATACAATTTTTTTAAGAATTTGATGTGTATTGATCACTTGTGATATACGATTTTTAATTGACGTATTTGTAATACTATCATGATTAATACTTATATAAAGTTTTAAATTCCTAATATTATGGGTAAAATTTGGATTTTGTAACATTAACTCAAGAATATCTTCAAAGTAAGAATTATAAGTAGGATTATCAATTTCAAAAATATGTAAATTTACTTCATTCTCAATAAACAATTTAAATAGTAACATACAAATTAATTTTTTAAATCCAAGTATTGAATGTTTATCCGAATCTTGTAAATAATATCTATTTCTGGGGTTTAAAGTTTCAAACCACTCTTCAACAGAAGAAATAAACTTCCACGTATTTAAATATTCTAAGTAACTAGGATAATTAAAAAGTGTTTTCGAAGGTAATAAATTACTATCATTAATTTTATATTCATTTAATTTTGATCTTGATTCATTATTTAAATTATTTAAGTAAAATTCAATAAAATTATAATTTTCAGTAGGAATTGAAAATGGATTTTCCCATAATAATGAAATTGCTAAACGACACCATAATCTGTTAACTAAAATACATGAATGTAATGTTGAAAAATCATTCTGTAAATATTTTATAATATCATATGTTAATTCAGGCAAATCTCCTGAAAATATTTTTGAACTTGACATATTATAAGAGAATTAGGAGAAGGTATTTGTAGTATCACAATAGCGCTATTCCAACTTTATTAATTTTCGGAATAGTGATTTCCGATATTGTCGCACAAATCGTGTCGTGTAACCTGTAATAATTAGGCGCAGCGCCGAAAGGTTTTTGAAAAATCCGGTAAAATTTTTTAAATCTTGAATGATTTCGGACATTTTACTGCAGATTTCAGTATTTCCGGAATTTTCTAAAAACTTTTTGTGATAATATCGAGGTTTTGCCTACATATATATATACGTGTAGATCGTCGTGGAATTCCAGGCCGGATTTTCTGCGATTAAACCGGGTTCGGATGATCGGCAATCAGGAACTCGGCTCCGTTTTTCGGCCAACTACACTTTTTTTTTTAATTAGCAACGCGTTTATTAATTATGATTGATCAAAAATATACATAATTAAACAAACACCTAGAAAACAATATAAATAAATTATATTATCCTCTATAACTAACCGTTCTATACTAAATTACTATAAAAAATTTATTTTAAATTTATCTGTTGTGTAAAAACGTTACTAATCTAAAACTATTTTAAAATTTTTTTCTAATTTTTTTTTTATATTTTCCTATGTTTTCTAAATTTTCTAGAATTATCTAACGTCCAAACACAAACTATAATACTAAAACATTGGCAGAAAAACACTTTCAAAATTCATTTGTAATCTAAAAGACAAAATGATATATATATAAAAAAAACAAAATTAATATGAATTATTAAGAAAAAAAATCCCTAAATCTACACTTTTGACGGAAATGTATCTAAAAATCGGCCGAAATCCTTATCGTCTGCGTGTTATCTTCAACCAAATCCAAGCGCAAATCCAAAGACCTTGATATCTTAATTTTGTTTTATTAACTTGGACAAATTTGTTTATTCGCTGTCGGAATCTTCTCTTCGTCCTTGCGTTGCCACTACGTTTTTTGTTTTCGTTAAATTTGTCTTTGTCTTTCTCTGTACTCGACGTTCATTCTTTCGTTATATCTTCTTTCTTTTTCTCTATGTTCTCCAAGTGTTCACTTTTCGGCTAACTACACCATTATCAGGACAACGATAATTTTTGATGAGAAATTATTGGGACGTACAATTTTAGTCATTATTATAACAGATAAGGATTAGTTCCATTACAGATTATTTTTTTAATAAGTATGTCAGATTATGAATAAAGAAATCATAAGTTTTTAAAAGGGCTTCAAATGAATATAATTGTAGAATATTCTGAACGTTGATATAAAAGTATTTATTTTTATTGGGAAACATAATGCTGATTTTTAGTTTAGCATAAAGACTAATTTTATTAGGTTCACATTTAATGCAAAACATTTATTAGTTCTTGGATTGTTTAAATTATGCTATACAAAGTTTATTGCTTAGATATGTACAAATTATCATTCACATATCTACAAATGATAATTTTCTAATCACTGTTAGCGACCCGACAAGAACATCATACTGTGTTGTTGAATCTCCTGCTGTAAAAACTTGGTTTTTCTGACCTGTAAATAATTCTAACATAATATTATTAAAATTTGATGGTATCAAAATGGGGTCATCAAAATGCTTTTCTTAACATGTAAACATTCACTCGGTCAGCTTTGCTCATGCCCGAATCGGTTCAAACGTAGAGTTCAATGGAAGCCCTGCATATTGATTTCCTTTGAGGATATTATGTTTTTATATTCCAGAAATTAGTTGTCTAATTTTTTTTTAAAAATTCCTCTGGTGCATGTTTAGTTATTTCGTAAGTAATTATCATTTGGGGATTATAAACTATATTATTCCATTCTTAATCAGAAAGAGGATCTAATAACTCATTATATATATTATCATCTTGATTAACACAAACATCTATTGTTTGAAAATGATTATTCATTATTTCTTTAATACCGTTACCAAAATTTTTTTTCCATTTTGATTAGTTGTTAAGACTTATCTATGACTATCGCTTTAAATTCATTTCTGCAATGATGATCTACAGCTTCTAGGATTTTCTCTTTATATTTCTTATATTCATATTGATATTGGATTATATACAGATTTTTTAATTCCTTAAATTCTTTTAATTATTATTTGAATATTTTTATTAGAATCCAAACGTAAATTCCATATTTTGTCAATAGAATATAACAAAAGTTTTTCTTTATAAAAATTCCAATTGATTCTAATCTTAACTATTTTCTCGGATTTATTTAATTTTCTTATCAAATTTTTAATAAACTTAATAATCGTGTATATCTGAGAGTTCTTTAAAGGGTTAGATATTTTCCAATTTTCATTTACGTTGTCTTCTAACGTGAAATCGATACTATATAGATTATCCATTTTATCATACGATAAATTTCTTTAATAATAATGTTCTTTTTTAAATGTGATAACGATTTATGTCAAATAAAATCTTTGGTCCATAATGAAAAAACTAACAAACTATGATCTGTATTTATCCAGTCAGATATGTTCAGAAATCAGAATAATTGTTGAGAAAAAATCCGGTCCGTTGTCAAAATATAGTCTAATCGTCATCCATTTTGTATTTTATTTTTGGAATATGTGTATTAATTCTTTTAGTAGGTGTAATGTCATAGATAATTTTTATCGGATCAAGATAAATTATCGAAAATCAAGGCTTTATTATTAGATTTTTTAGTGAATAATCTTCATAATTAGTATTAAAACCATCATGAATATTATCTCGTGATTATTATGTTTTCCTTCAAATATAATTTCAAATAATTTATTTGTTATTTTCTTATTTAATTCTTTGGATTGTAAATTAAAATCTATTACTACTATTACTACTACTCATAATATTGGATAATCCTTAATTTATTATGTTCTTTAAATATGCTAAGTCTAATATATAATTCTTCCGTCAAAGTACCCACATTATACTGTATAATGTATATGTTTTGCGTAATTTTTTTTATTATTATTCCTACACCTTTGCCTATGGGTTTTCGGTATTATGAAGATAAAAAGTGTAATTTAAATCATGTTTATATATAAATTTTGCATTCTTATTATCTAATCACGTTTCAGAAACTCCTAAGACTTTTTCATTCATTAAATACATAATTAATTGCTGTTTCAAATATGTAAACTGATTTATATTTAATGTGGCTATTGTTAATATATCTGTTAAAGTGTTTTTTTTTTTTTGAATTTCTTAAATTGTGTTTAATATTTTGTATATAATTGTTCATAATATTGAGGGAATTAACAAAATAATGAAATTATAATTATTGTCATTCATCATCATTAGATGTCAAGAAGTAATTTCCCCTCAGATACTTGGTCGAGTCCTTGTTAATAAATAAGATTTTTCATTCCTTTAATTGAATTTTGTACTTCACTAATCATTTTTGCATTTGCTGCTAAAACGTTATCTTGAGCTAAAAGCTTTCTTTCAAAATCTGACATGTTAATCACTATTTTCAGCTCGAACACGTCTGTTGGTACCTTAAGTATGTACGGCTCTTGTTCCATTATTAGTTTTTGACTTTTGGGTTTTATTATCTATCTTCTGATTCTCTCTTAACGTTAGAAATTCATTCTTGAGGAATGGTTGTTGATTTATGACTTTTTCTAAATTCTTAGCCAAGTTGTCCATTTGTTGTTGAATAATGGAGAGTTAATTATCTAGAACTTTTTGATGGTTTTTATTTCCAGCTATCGATCCGACCCTCCTGTTTTTTCTTTGATTGAAATTTTCTTGTTCTTTGTCACGTGACATTTGGTTCCAAGGACGAAAGTCCTTATTAAATCACTTGCGCAAATGTTGCTGACCGCCTTTCACCGCTTCAGCATAGTTACTGGGTTTGTTAGGATTCTTACTATTAATTTTTTTTCGAAGTTCTCTTAGTATTTGTCTTCTGTTAATATATCTTGATCTTTTTTCAATACTACTTCGGACTCTTTTATCCTGTCTCTTATACACATCTAGATGTGTATAAGAGACATATTAAATCCCTTGCGCAAATGTTGCTGACCGCCTTTCACCGCTTCAGCATAGTTACTGAGTTTGTTAGGATTCTTACTATTAATTTTTTTTCGAAGTTCTCTTAGTATTTGTCTTCTTTTAATATATCTTGATCTTTTTTCAATACTACTTCGGACTCTTTTATCACATGACATTTGATCCAAGGACGAAAGTCCTTATTAAATCCCTTGCGCAAATGTTGCTGACCACCTTTCACTGCTTCAGCATAGTTACTGAGTTTGTTAGGATTCTTACTATTATTTTTTTTCGAAATTCTCTTGGTTTTTGTTTTCTATTAATTTATCTTCAAATACTACCACAACGACCACATGTATGTCAATTCTTGATTTTCGTAAGCAATAGTTTCCCCCTGCAATCTCATCATTATCAAAATATACATACGCGTAATTTGAAGGTCGATTATTGTTTGGATAAAACAATATTTAATATTCAAATCATCAATAATATGTTGAATATCGATTTGTGTGTATTGAATGAAACCTGCTAGTTTCCAAATTCTACTATTTCTTTCTTCACATATTTATTACTATGTAACATTGGAATGATCATAACTTGGGATTTACCAATATATACACTCCATGTTTTATCATAAAATCTTCTATATTTTTGGCGCCTTCGTAATGTATTAAAAGCTACTTGGTAAAGATCTCTAACTCTTTGTATGTAAGGACTCGATTTTTCCATATTTAAAAAGATGCCTCTTATTTACCAATTGTCTACTTCTAATGGGAACCTTACTACTTGAATTGTACGATCTTTCAGTTGTTCTCTCTCCTCTTCTATATTTCTTTGTTTTGTTTCTTAATATGGAATAATTTTTAATTCTATAGTTCCTACCGTTTCTTCTTCAGGATCATTTTGTTTATTCTTTCTTTCAACAGAAATTGCTTAAGTAATTTTTCAAATTCTTTCTGCGTTTTTACACCGAAAATGACGATATCTTTTTCCTTATCGTAGCCAGGTGGTATTGGGAAAAAAGCTTGCTTTTAAATAAAGTCTTGCACGAGTCGGCGTTTACTAAATTCAGAAGTTGTGCCCTAACACTAAGTCTAAGTGGTGCATAACGATTTACACATTCATCCACGTTGATTTGTTTATCGATTTGATTGGTAGTTGGTACGATCATCGGAATGTTGTCCGAAATTTTCCTTGGACTCAACATGATTTAGGTATAATTTTTTTCGATCGGTCTTAGCAAATAAAACTCTTGACATTGATCATAGCTTACAACAAGTGGGATATGTAGAAAAGATGGAAGTGAAAGGTTGTTCAAATATAAACTGCACAATCGAATCTTCATTATCGCCGTAAACTGGCACTAGGGATCGGAAAAGATTCGATTAAAATCAAAACTATCGAAAATCGATAAGAATCGATTTTAAATCGAATCTCGAATAAAAATCGAATCTACTTATTGTGGCGCAGTTTCGTTAATTTGACCGTAAATTATCATTTGTTCATAATAGTTAATTTTGGCCAAATTCATAATTCCGCCCGCGAATCACGTGACGGAACACAAACTTCCTAAAAAGTAAATTTTATCTCCCAATAAAATTCAAGTTGCTATCGCACAAGGTTGTACAAATTTCCAAAAAAGGAAATTTGTTCGTCGATCACTGTAATTTTTTGTAATCACGTGATATGTGTTTTATCACACCTATTATAAATAGTATAAAAAAAAATCTGTTTTTGCGAAATGATTAATCGCGATTAATCGATTTTAGAATCGATTCTAATAATGGGAATCGATTCCAATCCCTAACTGGCACATCTGTTTAATAATTTGACACATGATGATAATTCTTAATAAAATTCACCTTCAATTTCTGTATCATAAACTTGGTCAAAATAAAAATCCGTCTCAATAAAAGGTATTTTTGGAAGACATCTCTAACGGTAATATGAACGGCGGCCCAAATAAAGAAGCGATAGTTGGCAAGCATTTAAGAAATTGGATAATCTGGTAAAGAAAGGGGATGGATATATGGGAATAAAAAGTTATATTTAACGTTACGGTGGCTAATTTGCAAAAATTATTTAAATATATAAAACAAGTTATATTCTTATATATTTTAATAATGAAAATGATATGGTGAAAGCGATCTACAATTCTGTAACCGAGGATCTGCCCTACAGATGAAAGAGTTGTTAGGACGAGACGGGCAAGTTATACACGTGTCACTGAAAACAAACCCAGTTGATAAAGTCGCGAGTACGGCATCTAGTATAGAGGAACAATTTTTCGATACGGCGGAAGACTTACCGTTAAAGACGTTTGTGCACAAGGGTCCTATCTTATCCAACAACGAAGTCGAGATTTTGATGACCTTAATTCAAAATTTAGCAACCGGATTAAAGATTTGAATCAAAGGTTAGGATAGATAATAAGGAAGACACAACGAAGTTAGATGACGAAGAAATAGATATTAATTCAAGCAAAAAGAGAGTAGCGAAGGCCAGCAGCCTGTAGGGGATGTGGAAGATGTTGAATAAAATATAACAAATAGATTTGAATATAGCTATAGTGATTTTTTAACAATATGTAATTAGAAATTAGAGACAATTTATTCATGTTGTATTCGAATTGTATCGTAGAAAAAAAATTTTTATAATAGTATTAATGGTAAAAAAGGTTACTTTATGTTATCAAGCTAACTTTATTTTGTAGCACGAAAAATCGCTACTACTGCTACTACTTCATGGGAGATGAGGGCGTGGTATTGAAGGAGGTTTTTAATTATTAGTTTAGAAATTAATTACTGAATTCTAGTGTTGCTTTATTTTTTTGTATGTTCTCATCCATGTAAATAATAAAGTATTTCGTTTTACCACAAAAAAAACATGACATTTATTTTAATATTTAATTAAATTATTCTTTAATTTTGGCTGGCACTATGAATTTTGTATTTTGTCAGGTTCAATTTTTTTATTGCTGCACCACAAACACGCTTTTATTATATTACACAAAATCTCACCAAATGAAAAGAAAATTTTCAAACATTTAAAAAAAAAATTGTTTTCTTACTTTCCAGAAACCGGATATTTTTTAACTGGAAGTTTATCAATTATCCAGATATACAATAAAAAACTGAAATTATTCAGGTCCCATGCCGTCATATTTGTCTCATATATCATTAATATATCATTGTGTAATTGGCACGATGAAGATTTGTGCAATAATAAAGTTGTAACAATAATAATGATGTACAGTAACGTTATTTTTACCGCTATTATAAACTGTCTCGTGGCATATCATTATAGAATATGAACTATTACTATAACATGGAATTGAATCAAATTTATATGATAAAAATTTTAGCAAACATTTTAGCTAAGATGAATATGCTTTGTCCGTAATAGAAAAATTTTAATATAACCTTTTCTTAAAATTATACTGCGTTGTTCACATAATTTGTATCATTTGAATCAAGTACATATGTGCAATAATCTAAAATTGCAGTTTATTTAATCATCTGTTGCGCATTTCTAAGTTAAATCTATCGTGTGATCACATGAATGGCGGTTTTAGTTATTTAAATTTTTTAAAAAAAATAAGAATAGAAAAAAGAAACTAGTAATACATTCCATCCTTAATTTTTTTTGTCTAATCCATTAATATTTTTTATTTCATTTATTGTTTTCTGCATCTCATCAATTTTCGTCTGCATTTCTGTTTGTACTCTGTGCATTTCTTCCATTGTTATTTGCGGTTCAAGTATTTCATGCACATCTTTTTCTAATAGACGCTTGATGTAATTTTGAGTCATTGTTGTTGAAGTAGCCAGAAAGTCATCAGGGACCTTACCAGCAAAGTAAGATACATTTCTTGTTAAAGATAGAATAAGTATAAACACCAATGCTTTGATAAAGTAAAAATTGATTGGCCAGCTTAATGCAATCAGTAATGTTTGAAGAATATTTGGAACATAAAAACATATAATGATGAATGCATAAATTATTTTAAACATCTTCTTTTCTCCAATTATCCCTTCGAAATAATTATATTTTACTTTCATAATAATAATTAATATAACAAAAACTAAACATATTCCGAATAATGTAAGAAATATTATAGATGTTGAATCAAAAGTAGCTTTACGTACGATAATAATCATCCAGAATATTGGAATAGCCATAACTGGAAATAATATTAAGAAAAGAAAGGTAAAGGCAAAATTAACATTATCATTATATATTCTTCTCCATTTGATTATTGCAAGTACTGCACAAAGTATGTGTAAACACATGTTGATGATTGAAAATATTTTTATACTCAACCATTCATCATAGGCAAAAGAGACTACCAGTGGAATCATCCAAGTAATCACATTATATAATAAATCATCTAATAATGGTAATACTATATTTTTGATGGACCCGGGTTTTCCTGAAACATTGAACAAAATCACAAAAAATATTGGAAAAAATGTGTTAAGAGTTGCGTCATATAAATCTCCCTTTGATACATAATTTGTATCAACAAATGATGCAACTGATGCTGAAGTAAGTGGAAGAAGTGAAAAGAACACTACATTCCAAATGATAAAGCTTAAAAAGCTAATAATTTGATGCTTAATTCTATTTCTAAACATGATGATGGAACCATGAACTCCTTTCTTTTTAATTTCTTGATAATTGCTAATAGAGAATTCGTGTGGCAGCTAATTAATAAGAGATAAGCATACAACTTGGTTTTGTTGCATATTTATAGGCAATGTGTATCGTTACATGCAATCTTACACTAGGATAAATTTGTACAAATAGAATAGAATTTGTTACACTTCACTTGTGATAACCATCTTGCATGTGCAGTACATGTTACACCTGTAGGCTAAATATTCCTTAATATATCGTATACGACAATCAATAAGTTTTTATATTGGTAGATCGTTTCTTTTTTGTTTTTCATTTTTTATTCTTTCATATTTACGAAAATGTATAAATTATTTTTTTTTAAAAAAAGTTCCTCTTCGTAGTCTAAATATTACTTAATATAGCAACAACACACAACAATTAAAATAGGTTTACGCCTGTATCTACAAATTCATTTTTAATCAACCAATTAATTACTCTATTCTTTTTTCATTTCATATTATTTATTCCATTTTAATAAATTTTTCTACATTATAATGTTCATTTAAATCTCCCATATCCCGCTTATATTCATTTTACTGTAATTTGCCGATCAAATTATTAATTATATTGTCATTTTCACTTTTTTCTGCCGGTCTAAATAATTGTATACATCTCGTACTTCTTATATCCATTAAATATTATATCAATTTTGATCAAATTGATTCAATACTAGTCACATGATCTGCCAAACTTTAAAATAGTAACGCTTTATCATTACATGAATTGAACATTAAATTCTAAAAAATAAAATTTTGCTCGATCTTTTTTTAATTTATCTCGCTTAAACCTAACAAATCCCATATTCCATTTTTTTTAATGGTTCATTTAGCAAACTTTAACCTCTACTCCAAATCCTGTACATTATATGTCGCCATTTTTATTCCTTTTCCTGTGTTTTGTGTTTTTCTTTTATTTGGATTTATATGTTTTAACTTATTACTTTCTAATAATTATTGTTTCGTTATTTTCCACACTTCTTCTTCAACTGATTCTTTTCGTCCCCTTTTACTAATCTATCTTCATTTTTATGTGTTTTCTTTCACCATAACTTCAGTATTTCCTGAAGTTATTATATCCTTGTCTCCTTTCTTCTTGCCCTCCGTTTCGAAATCCATTTCCATTATATCTACTTGACTGTCGTCCCGTTATATTGTTGTTCTACTTGATTATATCTATGTGCGGCTTGAAAAAACTGGTTATAATTTCGACGTCTCATTCCACTATCTTGCTTACATTTCTCCTATTCTCATTATTTTCATACTTTTGATCATCCCGACTTCTGAAACTAAATCGCGTTTCTTTGTAAACTGCTGCTGATCCATTTCCTTGTGTTCTTGTACGACAAAATTTAGCTATACGACTATACGACCTCTACGTCCTAATCTATTACAATTAAAACATTCAATTAATTACATCACATTTCGCCTTGTCTTTTGATATCTTTCATTGTACAAATTTGTTATATTGACACTTTTTTGCCACGTGTCCAAATTGATTACAGTTATAACATTTAACTTTTCTTCTAGACGATCATTGTATTTTTCGTAATCCATTTCATTTCTATCTTTATTTCCTCTACCTTCTACCGTATTTTACCACTTCTCCATTCGCCTATTGAAAATTTTTTCCTTCAAAATACAATGGTCTTTGTATAGCTTCTATAAATACTTCGTTTTTATTTGCAAATCTAACAAAACTACATTTATCATTCGTCTATCACCAATATCTCTAATACTCTATGCTTTAGCTTTAATATCATTCATGGCTCCATTTAAACTTTTTCCGTGATATCTTTAGGCAGAAATACTTTCGCCACCAATACATCAGAAATTACTGGAGTTTGAGCACAGCTTCCTATAAAAAAATTTGTTCTATATTCGTTTGTCTCTGTTTTGTTGATTTCCTCAACATGACCCGTTCATTCTAGTTCATATATAACTTCCTATATTGTGAATCGTTGCTAATTAAACTCAATAAACCATGCACCTCCGTTTTCAGAGTACGTTCTAGCTGTTCTTGCACCTGTTCAAACTCTATTCCCAACTGTTGTTCCTGTTTATGAAGTTCTGTCTGCTTTCTTTTCTGAAATCATTTCACAGTCTTCTTATTATAACGCAGCGTGGTGTACTTCCAACGCCAAAAATACTGTCACATGTTCATCCATTTTTTCCTGTTGTAGCCTGGCCTCTTCTAAAATTTTTATTTTGTTCCTTTGTATCTTTTTTCCAATAACCTCCTAATGTACTTACGTCTTCTGTTGTCACCGTTACCGTTACTATATTTTTCCTCGGGTTTGAGGGATGTTTGAATTTGACTCGAATGCTCGGGTCGGTCAACTGTATAACCTGAACTTAACTCGACCCGATTATAGCTTAACCCGGATAACCCAGGTCAAACCGAATTTATATTAAATTTTTTTATGATCAGCAATTAATCATAAAGTTACATCATTTTTTGCTTTTTTTAATTTTAGATCTTTATCTGGATGGTATTTCTCTAAATGACGCCAAATATTGGTCGTATTGGAGTCACTTCTAGAGCTTAAAAGAATTATTAAATAACAATATAATTGGTTAATATTAAATGTATTTTAAATTAAATATTATATTTTAAATTTTTTACTTACGAACAGCTAGACAGGTGACTTCGCGATGCGATTTTGCATCTTTATGTTCTGGTAGGAGTTCTTTCTCCTCAAAGAGATTTTTAACAAAAAGCTCACTACGTAAAGCTTGAGTTGAATTGGTTCATCAATATCAATAGTCTCAAAAAACTTCATCTCGTGGTTTAGTGACGCGACTGATGCGTCATCCAGGTTGATCTGGGTCAAAGCAACAGTACGACCCTAACCCGACGGGTTGGCTCATGCGGGTTATTTTCATAAGACCTGGGACAAAATAAATTTTTGAAAGTTGTTATTTATTTTACAAATCAAACTATCAAATCTGGATTACCGGATCGGCGGGTCGGCGGTCGGGATTTATTTTGTTTGACTTGACCCGTAAGGAGCAATCAACTTTTTTTCTTAATTTTGTTATTTATTTCTAGAAATATCCTATAAAAAATTTTCTGGAAAGTTCCAATATATGATCATTTTTCTAGTTTTCATTCCAAAAAAAACTCCGATATGTGATCAATTTCTAAAAAATTTTTTATAGGGATGTATTTATTACGTTCTTTAATGCGTTTCTTTTTAGATAATATCGACCGGGACTATATTTATAATCTTTTAGATACTACTAGATATATCGTAATCATTGCATTGAAAGTTAGCTAATTTTCCCTTTCAAATTTTTTTCGATATTTATCAATATCGTTAATTAACCAAGTGATAATTATCGTTAATTGTCTAATCGTGATAAATACCGATAAGTGGTAAACATCGATATTTATTCCCTGAAAAATTTTCCTGATGTATACTATTTATATATGAAATAAATATTTTTGTTAAATTAAGTTTTAAAGATCTCTTAGAGTATTTTAATTTTTTCACAATATATATATATATCTCAAATAATTATTTTATGACAAAATAAACTTGCTCAAATTAACATTGAGACGATGTTAGAAATAGTAAACTATTTTTATTATGGGTGCGGGATTACTGTTCTCGTTTCTTACAATAAAAACTAATTTTTAATATTTTTTTTTTATTTTTGGATAAATAGACATTTTATCAACATATTTCATAAGCGTATAAAAGTTTTATAATAATAACCTTGAAACCTTAAACCACGCCTTTTTTTTAAAGATCCATATAACGATAAGTCACAATAAAAATTAAAATCATACAAATAGGAATCACACATCATGAGGAAATAAATATGTGGAATTCCATACATTCTCATATATCCTACGCGGATTCACATCGAATTTTGTGGATTTACGCCGAAAATACCAGGTATTTGCCATATCTGATATGTGGATTTCCATGTGGGATTTTTAGTGGAAAAAATGCAGTCAAGTTTTCATAATGGAAAGTGCATACCTTCTCTAAAAAAATTTATGGTTAGGGTATATTGCATAAAATATTAAATAAAAATAATTTTTTTTTTTTTGTGCTTTTAATAATAGAGGCGAAAAATAATTTTGAGGTCAAATAGTAGTGATAGGAGGGTAATTAGTATGAGTTTATTTATTTGTGCTTTTTTTAGGAAAGTGTATTTCTATTACAGTATTAGCGTTAGATACTGTGGCTGTATGACATAAATTATTAGATTGAACAAGCCTTTGGGAAATTATATTAATAATTTAGGTAATTAAGAAATTTTAATATATAGACATTTATATTTTTTTACCAATATTTATTATGAATAATTATAATTAAAGTTAAATGACACTAAATTTTAATTCTTTTACTTATTTATGCGAATAGTTTTTAATTTCAAAATTTTTAAGAAAATCAATTTATTTACTGGAAAACAAAGAAAAGATACAACGAAGAAAAAGAAATTTAAACTAAAAAAATGATCTAGAAAAATCAAATTTACCCCGATCCGTTATTAAATAAATAAAAAAATATCCATGCTAGACACAGGATTGTTAATAAAAAAACCGCTTCTTTTCTAGCAACACGCTTCCTTTCTAGCAACACGCTTCCTTTCTAGCAACACGCTTCCTTTCTAGCAACACGCTTCCTTTCTAGCAACGCTATCCCAAACTAACTACGCATCCCAAAGGATTTCGTTAGAAATTGGCGTCCACCAAATATACTTTTTAATTTTCCTATATACTACCTGTATAACACCTGGGAGTTCATATGTAAGTTACCAAATAATTCATTGTATTTTTATGTAAATATAATGATATTTACAATATTTGATATACACATAATATACACATAATATACACACATATAATATAGAAAATTGGTCATTTATATAAATATTCTCAACCGACTCATAAAAACCTTCCCTCCCTATTTTCTCATAATTAATTATATCAAAATGTTAAAGCATTTCTAAGCTAAATGATTTTAAATAAATTTTGAAAAATAAAGACGTCATATAAATAATTAACATATCTTTACGTATTTCCTAATTTAAGTGCTAAATTACTAATCCGTAAAATTTTATTTCGGTTCAAAATTCATTATCTGCTATATAAATTAAATAAAATTTGTTATTTACTTAGTATACAAATGAAAATAAACCTAAATACAATAAAATAAATACCTGGTATACACAGATCAAAAGATAAACATTCAAAATAATCTTTTGATGTTAAGAGATTAATTACAATACTATAACCGCTAATAGATACTAATGTAATTTTTTTACAATTTTGATTTAAAAAAGCCAACTCACGAATAGTTTTTTGTGCAGAATATAAACTAATGAATTTTGGAGATCCAGCTACATCATTATTAAGTTTAATATATGGTTTTTTCATAATTGGATGTTTAAATGAAAATGTATTATAGGTGTTACTAGTACAATAATCTGAAATAATAAATGTGAAAAAAGTAAAGTTGTGCGATTTTAGTTCTACACGGTTATTTTCTTTTGAACAATAAGAGAACGTGTATGCTCCAATTTTATTTTCTTTCCGAGCATTAAAAAAATGGTGTCCAATAACAATGGATTTATTTGAAGATGTTAATTCAGTTAATACAGGTATTCCAAAACAGGGGCTGATATAAGGATCATAATTATAATTTAATGTATAAATCATAGTTTGTCTATCTGAAGTAATTTTGTTTTCAAAAATCTTTAAATGAACATTAAAATCTGAAAGTATGAAATTAAAATCTGTATAATATCCGACCACCATCCACTTAATTCTCAAATTACATTCACGTTTTTTGAATTTATTTTGAACACAATGAATTAGAAGACTCGGTTTTGACGGTGGACAAGAACAAGATGATGCTGGACAAGGTGGAAGAGACGAACATGATGATGAACAAAGAACTTGACAAGTAAAAAAATCATCTTTTAACTCAGTCATATCAGTTACAGTAGCAAAAATATTACAATCTGCTTCCTTATTCTGAATCATCTTTAAGATATTTAGTGGTAAATCCTTTAATTCATGTTTTTTTGCCTCTCCATGATTTTCTAAATGATATTTAATTCCTTGAGTTTTTGAATAAAGGATTCTTTTTCCAACGTATTTAATAATTTGCTTACGTAAATTTTCAGACAAGGGTTGAAAAATGCTAACAGGATTTCGATACTCTATGCAATCCCAATAATTAGGATCGTTTAAAGATTTAAACCAAGCTCCTTCATCAAAATTTTCAATGTTGTTGGGCTGTTTTCCCCCAATTAATTTCGTACTGTTATTAGAAGCACTTGCTACATTCATAGTAATCTCTTTAAACGTTATATGTTCATTAAAATGAGCCCTACCACCTAAAATTACTTCGGTTGGAATAAATTGACCATATTGCTTAGTAATTTGTTTAAGTACTTTAACAGGATCTTCAGATTCTATGGCTTTCTCTACTTCTCCAATAAATTCTTGAGTCGGTTGTAAATGATCACCAAATTTCAAAGATGCTTTTTCGTGCTTTACAAAATCATAAGAACCACTGATTCCAATATTAGATTTTTTATTTTCCGTAATTTCTATTGACATTCCTAATTTTATAAAATTCTCCAGTACATCAATATCCGTGGTAAAAAATAAATTTGTTATCTTCATCCACTCCTTTGTTGACTTAAATGTATCCTTATGCATTTTGTATCTTTCCGCTCCAATTTCTTTCAATTCACAATTTTTTATTACAAACGCATTTTTATCTGCTTTCTTAATTCCATCAAAAGTCATAGTACATCCATTATTTAATTCGCATTTTTCTATAATACAATTCCAATCAATGTTAGTTTTTATTTCACATTCTATATATAGAATATTCTTATCGATAATATAGCTTAGGCTATGTTGTCTTTCAAATTCGGATTTTATTTCGGTAAATTTGTAGCTTCCATCCTTTTCAGAAAATTCCAAAAATTTAAATTGTTTATAATTCTTTTCGAGTTTTTGACGAATTGTTGATAATTTATCTGTAGGATTTAATAGAACTGGTTCAAGTTTTTGTGTTGGAGAATTGATAATTTTTATTGTAATTTTTTTAGCATTATTAGAAAAATGATTAAGCTTGAAACTCATTGTGAATTACCGTTTGGTTTCTTTTTTTTTTAAAAAAAAAAAGGCGAGAATAAATAAGTATATTTTTGTCGCACAAAATTATTTGAACACCGAATGTTGTATACCGTGTGACCGGCTGACTTGTTTATCACTTGTATTACCGTAAATACGATCATGCGTAAGAGCGACAATCTAATGCTAAAAGAGACAATATTATCACGCTATTTTGCCATTTATTGTCGAGCACAAAATTGATTTGATACAGAACATTATTAAGATCGACAAAACAAGTAAGTCGCAGCGCCAAATTTTTGTATAACCGTGAACAAAATAGAATGTTTCTAAAAGTGGTAATGAAGATTTATGCGCCATATCACATGTAACATTATTTATTTATTTTCTGTTGCTATAAAGTTATAAAGTTCTAATTTTCAAAATCGTAATTAATAAAGTGCTTCTTTATTAAAATCAAGACATCTATATATATTTAAATGGAATTAATTCAAAAGTTTAAAAAATGGAAAGAATCCAATGACGACGAGTACCAGGTAAAAAATAACTGTTATTATGATGGATAATATAAATTTCAAATATTAATTACACAATTATAATTTATTTTAATAAAAGATGCATGTTAAAATTTCTTCTGCCGCATCAGATAATATTGACGAAAAATTAGTTTATATGGAAGATTTAGAAAAAAGAAAAGAAGTATATGGAATATGTGAAGAATGTAACGAACCTGGTACAGGAAAAGGATGGTGTAAACCTTGTAATGCTAAGAGATTTGAGAAAAATTTTAAAAATTGGACTAGTAGAAAAGAAGATATTGATGAATTAATACAAGATTCACAGCTTAATGCTGTGCATTCTACAAAATGTCTCGAATGGATACCTTACGAAAAATTTCAAAATATTACTCATATTATTGATGGAGGCTTTAGCAGAATTTACTCAGCTACCTGGCAAGAAGGGTATATTTGTTATTGGGATATTGAAAAACATGATTGGAATAGGATTCCTGAACAAGTCGCATTAAAGGTTTTGGATATTTCTTCTGAAAATACAAACTTTTTGAATGAGGTAATTATAAAATATAAAGATGATTTTGTATTCCATTATTTAAATTATTTTGATCAAGTAATTTTGTTTTAATATATACGTTAGGTTAAATCTCATCTTCAGATTTATGTTAGTAATATTGTTCAATGTTATGGAATAACACAAGATCCAAATACTGAAAATTATGCAATAGTTTTAAAATATTGTAGAGATGGGAATATGAGGGACTATATAAATCAACATGAGAGTAATATAAGCTGTGAATTAAAAATTGATTATTTATTACACATATCAAGAGGACTACTATATATTCATAATTATGAAAAAATTCATAGAGACCTTCATTCAGGCAACATCTTATTTGATGATGGTATTCCATATATAAGTGATTTAGGTTTGTGTCAACCAGTAAATTATGAAGGGCAAGAAATAGTTTATGGAGTATTGCCCTATATAGCACCGGAAGTTTTACGTGGACATAAATATACGAAAGCAGCAGATATTTACTCATTTGGAATAGTAATTAATGAATTTATATCTGAAGAAATTCCTTATGACAATGATACTGATGATCAATTTTATTTAACTGTTAATATATGTAAAGGGTTTAGACCAAAAATTTCTGAATATACACCAAAATTATTAGCAGATCTGATCACCAAATGTTGGGATGGTGAACCAGATAAGAGGCCGACAATTCAGGAAGTTGTTATAACTTTAAAAGCAATGAAGTTAAAAAATTTGTCGTCCAAACAACAAATAATTCAACAATTTAAGTTGAATTATGGATTATTGTTGGATGGGCATAGTATCAAACCGAGTGAACAAGCTGTGTTATCTGAAGATGGTGATTTAGATATAAGTTTATATGAAGGACAACCTTTAGTGTATACTTTTGTAAATGATCACAATTCTCGTATCAACTTGTTGAAGTTTAACTCTGTCAACCATTTTATTGAAGGTTCACAATCATCGGATATATCTATTAATTTCCCGGTCGCCGAAATTACCTATAGTGCTGATTTATTAGCGAATTTTATGGAAGATGAATCATATGGGCACTTATTTGCAAAAAAAATTTTGGTTGGTGGTAAATTATTCATCGATGATCTTAAATCTGCCACTTCAACACAAACCGACTCTTTTAAATTTTTCTTAACTTGGGTGTATGATTCAGCTAAATATAGTAAAGAAAATCCATTTAATAATTTAACCGGGTTGAATTTTTTGCCTAAAATAAGAACATTAGATGGAAAAGATTTAAACACGTATGAAAAATTAACCAGTTGGATGAATAATTTATATCAAAATGATGTAGTTGATATAATTTCTTACAATAATCTCATTCCCATTTCTAAGTTAAGGTCCATTGCACCATCATCGATAGATGAGATAGATGAAATACAACCTGGAGTTGCTAATTTCAAAGAGAAATTAAGTTTTTATGACTGGGTTGGAGATTCATTGTACACTAACCTGACGAGATGGATTAATGAAAGACATCTTATCTATGGCCTAATAATTGATAAGCATTTTGAATTAGAAATCAGCAAGGAAGTTGCTAATAATTTCATTAATATTCCTAATGTATATTCAAGTGATAAGTTTTATTGGAAAGTGTTTAATCCAACAACAAGCTTAGAAGAATTTTTAATATCTAATAATATTTTTTCGACCAAAAATGTCAAAAATATAAGATCTTTTCCATTTACTAATAAAGTGTCTGATGAAATTAAAAGTTGTGAAGACTATGTACATTTTATAGTAAAATTTGAAAAATATAAGGTTAGGTTCAATAATATTATGCCCTCAAAAAGATTCCAACAAGCTATAGAAAATGCACTTGAAAATATGAAGCCATTTACACATTTACAAAATGTATTTGATGAATATGGGCATTTTTTCCCATTAAATATTGTTTTGGGAAAATCACTCAAAACTATTTTGCCAAACAACTTTGGAGAGATTAAATTAGAATCAACACTATTTGAAGCTTTAGATAGTTTAAATATTTCATATCTTTTAACAACAAATGGAAGTGTTATTGAAAAAAGTGATCTGTCTAATTGGACTCAAAATACAGATGATAGTTTAGAAATTATTGAATTTGATAATGTAATTTCTTTATATGATATTCTTGAAGAAGAACAAAAGAGAAAAATTAATGTCATTTTAAATAAGGAGGATAATCTTAGAATCATAATGACAGGAATTGAAGAGTTAAAAGACTTAGATGCTAATAATACCGAGTATTATAAACGAATAAATGTAAAACCTTCATTAGAGGATGAAAATTATGAAGTCTTTGGATCAGTTATTTCGAAACATAATTTGAAACTAGAAGATATTTTAATTACATTCGAATTATATGACTTTAATGGATTTTCTGCAATGATAAAAAACTTAAATAGAGATGTTGATATCACAGAATGTTATATTTTGTGGGTTATTATTGGAAATCCTTCAAAGTTATCAGTTTTTAGTCCAAGGAATCGAGAGTTTCAAGCTGATTATATTAAAAAATCTATAACATTACAACTCGATGATTTTTACTGCCCAATTAAAACTTCTTATAAATTATCTGAAGGATGTACGATTTCCGTCAATACATATTGCTCAACAGCAAATTATGAGCCTAATAATATTAAAATTAAACTGGTTGGTTGGTCGGAGGATTGTATTTATTTTAAAATAGCTAAATCAAATTATAATAATTCAAATTTGAATAATTCAAGTAATTCTTCTGAAAGTCATAGTCAACTTGATGATGATACTGACGTTTTAATAAATTTTGAAGTAACTATCTGTATTTTATCTTTCCATCATGAAAAGTTGGACATTGATAATAGGGAGGGGGAGAAATATTCTTTAAGTTTAATTGGACACGATTTAACTGAGAATACAAAGGGTATGTAAAGTTTCTTTTGATAATTATTTATCAATTTTCAATTTTAATAATTTTAATTTAATTGTTATATCTGATACTTCAATAGTTATTCCATTTACAAGTGTGGATGAACTTGGACCCGATCAGATTAAAGTAAGTTTAGTAAGTTTAAAAAATTGAGTTTTGTCATGCGTATGTTTATGTTATAAATTGATTTTTTTTTTAATAATTATAGTATCTACAAAAAATGGAGGCTAGTATCAAAAGATTTGATGATGATGTAGGTTCACTAAAATTGTCTGATTATGAAATGAATAGAAATGAGATACCACGTAAAAATGGACGTGTTAGTAAATGGGTTAGTGTTAAGAATAGAGACCAAAAATTTGCATTCAAAAGTATCTCCAATAAAAAATACAAAGGGACCATACAAAATCAAGTTGCAATTCTTAAAAAACTTCATAATTGCAATAATATTATAAAATTTTATGGACTTGTTTCTGATGGAGATAAATGGTATTTGGTGACTGAGTGGGCTGAATATGGGAATTTACGTGAATTTTATACAAACCATAAAGAACGATTCAACCTTAGATTAAAATTACGAATGTCTCTTGAAATTGCTCGTGGATTAGATTTTCTAAAAAATGTAGAGGTAAATGATAAAATTTTTTGGATATTTAAGCCGATTAATCCTTTTAACTTAAATAAATATTTTTCAATTACTATTTTAGGTCTTGCATCACGATATTAGAGCTGAGAATATATTAATTACACTTGATGAGACGGCAAAACTGACAAGTTGTTCATTGAACACAGTTACATTTAAACAAGATCACAATTTAGAACAAGCTCGCTATTATGCTCCTGAATTATTGGAGAGAAATTCTAACACCAAATATGATATTAAGTGTGAAATTTATAGCTTTGGAATTTTACTTTGGGAAATTGCTGAAGAAAAAACTCCATATAAAAATTATAAGGATATTATGGAAATAGTCAAATTTGTGGGTGCAAAAAATCGAGAACCATTTTCTAGAAATAGTCAAATGCCAGAACAATTCAAAAATTTAGTAATTAATGGTATGTAATAAAATGTTAAATTCCTTATAAAGTATTAATTATACTTTTTTTTACTTTTTATAGCTGTTGATCATAATCCAGAATTTAGGCCAAAAATTACAAAAATGCTTGAAGTTCTCAACAATTGTTTTGAAAAATCTAAATCCACATATTCTCACAAGTCACAATCTATTCTTATAGATAGAGCTTCTTTTCTTATAGATGCAGCTTCATCTACAGGAGCAGCAATAGCAGAAGCAGTTGCAGCAGGAGCTCCAATAGCCATTCCATTTTCAAAATTTGTTCCTTTATTTTATGAAATTGGAAATATTTTTAACGAAATAATCGAATTAGCACAAGCTGCTGAACATAATAAGCGAACTTGTGATGCATTATTACAACGAGTTTATGCTGCAGAGTTAGCTGTACAAGATCTTAAACGTCAAAGAAATAGTAAAGAATTTTTTAATAATAAAAATTATTTATGTTTACAAAATTTAGTTAATATTATAGTACAAATTAGAAAATTTATATCAGATATTTCTCAAATGAAATCTTTGATAAAATATTTTCAAGTGAAAAGTATTGAGAAAACTTTTAAAGAGTTATGTAAGGAATTTGATAGTTGTGTTAATATTTTGTCTTTTGAAATTAATGTTGATACTTCTGATGAAATTAGACAATTAAAAGCCGATCAAGAAGATTTATTAAAAGTAAGATTAATAATTTAGTTATAATTTACATTTATTGAGCGTAAAATTAATTTTAAATTATTTTAATAATTATAGTATATACAAGGAATGGGGGATGGTAATATCAAAAAAATTGATGACACTTCATATGTTAAGGATGACGCAAAAGAGATCAAAGCCTGCCTCGCAAACTTAAGTAAAGAGTTTTCCTCAACTGTTGCAAAAGTCAATGCAATGAATAATACAATGGAAAAATTTATGAATGAAACTTCTCAAAATCAAAGAAAAATTGATAATATCTTTCAGACACATCCATTAAAATTTGCTGATTATGAACGGGATAATAATGAGAAACCGCGTAAAAATGGGCATGTGACTAAATGGTATAAAATAAAAAGTATGGATGAAGAATTCGCTTTTAAAACTATCTCTGAGAAAGAGGACCAAAAGATTGTACAAAATCAAGTTACAATTCTTAAAGAATTATATGATTGGCAAAATATCATAAAATTTTATGGAATAACTTACGATGGAAATAAATGGTATTTGGTGACTGAATGGGCCGAATATGGAAATTTGCGTGAATTTTATCAAAATAAACATGATTTTGAACTTAAATTAAAATTACGTATATCTCTTGATATTGCTCGTGGATTAAATTTTTTAAGAACCGTAGAGGTAATCATATAATTATATAACCAGCTTTTGTTTAATTAACAAAATTTTTTTAACTATTCAATTTTTTTTAGATTATTCATCGAGATATTAGGGCTGAAAATATATTAATTACACTTAATGAGACAGCAAAACTTGCAAATTTTAAATTAAGTCGTTATTTAACTGGTTCTTCAATAAATCAAAGCCAAAATTTAGAACGAGTTCGTTATTGTGCACCTGAATTGTTAGAAAGAGCTCCAAATTACAAATATGATCAAAAATGTGAGGTTTATAGTTTTGGAATATTACTTTGGGAAATAGCTGAAAAAAGAATTCCATATCAGGGTAATGATGATATTTTGGATATAACTGATAAAGTGCGTAATAAAATGTATAGAGAACCATTTTCTGCAATTAGTCAAATGCCAGATAAATTCAAAGAATTACAAATTGATGGTATGTAAAAGAAAATAATTATATATTACAGTTTTATTTGTTATATTTAATTGGTTTCTTTTTTTTTTGCATCTTTTTTTAGCCGTTCAACATGACCCAGATTTTAGGCCAAAAATTACAAAAATGTTTGAAGTTCTTAGAAATTGTGTCAAAGATTATTCTGAGAGGCATTCACTTTTACAAGATTCACCAAGTTCTAGTAGTTCAGAACTAAACAGGAAACCCTCCACTCCAAAGCCTATTTCGAAACGAGCATACAGCATTGATCAAGAAGCATATACCCTTCCGATTGATTTACCAGATTTTGAATCATTTAAATACATGACACTTGCTGATGCAGCAAAACAACATAGGCTGTATGATAAACATGGCAAACTAGTTGGAAATGTAAAAATTGCATATAAATGTTTTGAAGCTTATGCAAACCTTAGTAATACAGGAGGTACAGCGAATCGCAATCAAATTAAAGCAAAATATTATAAAGCTTATTACATTTCAAAGGGATTGGTTGAGAGTCCCCCAAATAAAGATAAAATTGTTGCTGAATTGTTTAAAGAAGTTGCTGATGATGAAGTAAATGAATTCCCTGAAGCAAAAGTAAGATATGGAGATTATTTGTATCACGGCAAAGGTGTCGATCAAAATTTTACAGAAGCTCTTAAATATTTTGAAAAAGCTGCTGAAGATGGTTTTAAAGTAGCAATGTATAACGCTGGAAATATATATTATAATGGTATTAGTGGTATAAAAGATAGAGAAAAAGCTATTCATTATATGAAATTAGCTGCTTATAATGATTATGAACCTGCTATCAAATTTTGTAAGGAGCATAACCTTTAATTATATATTTTAAATTTTATATTTTCTATATAATGTATTTATTTCTTTTATTTTTTTTTACCAATAAATATACAATGTGCTGAAGTATTTAACTGCAACAATATATAAACTTTGAATTGAAAACATTTATAATATGAGTGTAATGCTGTAGTTACATACATAGATATAGTCCGTGATTTCTTTTATTAATTAATAAATGCGCGATGTAGGATATCTGAATATGAAAAACCATTAGATATGATTGAGATTTTATGCAAACCGTTCGGACATTTTTATTCAATTTATAAAAGCTCCAAAAATTGATATCTTTTTTTCAACTTAAACAATTCAACAATAATTCTCGCCTAATTCTATATCAAATAAATATCTCATTAAATTATTCAATAAAAGTAAAAATTTTGGAAATTTTGGCTTTAAAACGATATACAGCAAATCTTTATCATTATTAGAGATTAAATTAATTTAAAATTTTTTTCTTTCACTTTTTTATGATCAACAAGATAATGAATAACGTATAAATATCCTGCAAAAGTATATGATCTATTGTGATAAAAACAAAAATTGATTTCTACTTTAAATAACTGCGACTGATGCTTGTCTCATGTAGTTAGGGATCGGAAAAGATTCGATTAAAATCGAAACTATCGAAAATCGATAAGAATCTATTTTAAATCGAATCTCGAATAAAAATCGAATCTACTTATTGTGGCGCAGTTTCGTTAATTTGACCGTAAATTATTATTTGTTCATAATAGTTAATTTTGGCCAAATTCATAATTCCGCCCGCGAATCACGTGATGGAACACAAACTTCCTAAAAAGGAAATTTTATCTCCCAATAAAATTCAAGTTGCTATCGCACAAGGTTATACAAATTTCCAAAAAAGGAAATTTGTTCATCGATCACTGTAATTTTTGTAATCACGTGATATGTGTTTAAACACACCTATTATAAATAGTATTAAAAAAAATCGGTATTTGCGAAACGATTAATCGCGATTAATCGATTTTAGAATCGATTCTAATAATGGGAATCGATTCCAATCCCTACATGTAGTATAATTCTTGTAAATCGGTAGGTTAGCTTATTCTTTTGAAGTTTCATTGTGGTTGTATTTTTTTTCACTGCGCGTAATTATAAGTAAAAACTGAGGTGAAATTTGCTAAAAAAAATGAATAATTTCTGCGTCATGACCGTCATCTACCATATAAAAACAGTTTGTACACAAATCATATTGAATATATTCAGATAATGTACAAAGGAGTCATTATCTGTAAAATAAACAAATTTTTGCGATTGTATGTTATTGGTTACAAAAATTGTATGATAATTGATCATTTATATGTACAATAAGCGAACAATAACAAATATTGTGCAAACTTCGTACAAAATAAAAACCATTCTGTCTACAAATTATACAATAACTGACATTTTTTCACAATTTGTACAATAATTGATAATGCAACTATTTGAAGTTACAGTATATGACTATTCTTCTTATTTATTTCTTCATCTTTGTCAATTATTCACTATATGAGTTACTATTGGAAACAAAAAAAAAAACCGTTTGAAAAAAGGTAGTACAATAATAGTAAAATTAAAAAAATGATAAAAAAAAAAGCCTAAGATGATGTCTGGGGGTCTTGTGTCTGTATATTAATTTTTATAAAATATTTTCATGAACTGAATAGCCACACACAATTAAGATAATGAATTACTTAACCTTCATGTTCACATTGTTTAGATTTAATATCTTAGCAACTTATCTTTTATTTTAGTAGTATAATCTCTATTTGCGACACTCTTTGGATGTCACCTGTATTACCACAAACATATAGCTGATACCAACTTAACCGAAATCAAATGTTGAAATTGATTTAATAATTATTGTTTCCCTATAAAAAAATTGGATACATTTTTTATACGATTTTTTTCTTTAGAAATAATATATCATAATAGTCCATTGAAAGGATACGGGAAAATGCATAATTCTGTATCACTAAAAATATGGTTTGGATACAGAATTTGCACGGGATTCGTCATGATTTGATCACTGATTTTATTACAGAATTTACTATGTAATTTATATTACAGTTTATTATAGTTGTATTTACATAAATTTAATTCTACTTTATTAAATTAAAATAAAAAATAAAAATAAACAAAATACAAATACATTATTAAAATTCACTCCCATATCAAAACCACCTATTGCAACCAAAATTATCTATAATATGTTCAGGTTCATTCGGAGTCAAACAACCTAAAAAACAAAAAAAAGAAACATAAGAATGTCTCCTCTCATATAGTATCTGCAATCGTCCAAGTCACCAAGGGTCAGAACCAAATCAACCTACAAAAGAAAAAAAATCCAGAACTGACCTACAAAAAAAAGAAGACTCTGAAGCAACAAAACTGAAACAACTTACAATAAGAAAGAATCTGAACCCAACTTACAAAAAAGAAAAAATTTGAACCGACCTAAAAAAAAAGGAACCATCTTACAAAAAGAAAAGAACTCCCAAGCTGATTTACAAAAAAGAAAAAGAAACTAACAAAAAAAAATCTGCTGGCCTATGAAAAAAAGGGATAATATAAATAAAAAAGAAAGGGTAGCAACTAGCAAGTGGGGAATAAAAGAATAAATTAAAAAATCTTTTTCTTTAAAGAGGGGTGGCGAAGTTAGGAAAGTTAAAAAAATTTTTTCTTTAAAAGGGAGGTCGTCAAAGTTAGGAAAATAAAAAATTTTTTATAAAGAGGAATTAAAAAAAAGAAAGGGTGGTGAGTGGAGAATAAAAGAATAAAATCAAAAAAATTTTTTTAAAGGAGTGACGAAAAAAAGTTTTTTATCAGCTCCTTTGGAACTTCTGCCTTGCAGTTAATAGGAAGGTACGAAAAAAAATGAAGAAAGAAAAAAGAAAAATTTTTTAAAATAAAAAAAAATAAAATAACAAAAGACAAAAAATAATGAAAATAATAAATATACGGAATTGTATAGAAAGTTACATACAAAACGAATCCTTTTCATATACAGATTTCTTATAGGGTTTTATTTTTAGCCATTTCATTATAAAATAATAAATTTTTAAATAAAAAATTTATTTACAGTATTACTAGGCGTAACCTGTCGCGTTGCGCCAGGGACGATAAAGTAAGAGAGTAATAATAAATACACTTATATTTTATTTGCCATGCAATGTGAATAGGCCTAGTTTTTTACTATTATTATGATGGGATTAGTAGGAAATAAATGTAATAAATTATACAATTTATATGATTATACAAATAACAATGAATTGTGTGCAAGTGTTATACAGTATATGAAATATTATTATTAAATGACAAATTTTATTTATCACACGAAATAAATGTTGCGGTATTGTGAAATTTATGATTTATTTATAAATTCATTACAAAGCAATTTTGTATAAGTAGTTTATTGTTACATGGTTACAAAAAAATCCTTTTCTTTTATCTTAAAAAAATTCTATTGTAACATTAAAAAATTACACCCTCTATTGGAAAAAAAATACATATATATTAGCCCTGTTCATTTCCGGTCGGTTGCATTTTTCGGTCGGATTTTGTTGTACAAAAATTATCCAATAAAATTTTTTTATTTTTGATCGCAAATTGAACTGCTTTAGATTGAAATTTAGTTCGAACTCCTTCTATTGATATATATTTTTTTCTTAAATGTCACCTAAACAGTAATTATCTAATTTTGGTTGGTTATTTTTGGCGTTCGACCAAAAAACCCCCAAAAAAATTGGGCTAAAAGTTCAGAAAATGGTTGCGTTGTATAAACTGATCAGCCCAATCAAAATTAACTTAAATCTGACCGAAAAATGCGACCGACCGGAAATGAACAGGGCTATTGTTGCCATATCTCAAAGAATTCATTATAGCAATCTATTGTTATAGAAAAAAAAAATATCTCACTAATTACTAATATGAAAAAAAAAAC